CGAAATACATTCCGAGCTGTTTCAATTGGGGACTCTGGCTCTATTGCCCAATCCACTGACCGCATCAACTGGTACCTGCCCGAAAGAATCTTCTGACAGTTCAGTTCTCAGGTTTTCCCACCTTGTGACCGAGCGTTGAGACCGCCTAGCACAACTTCATTTATCTCACAGCTTGGATTGCGGCATAACAAACCAATCAACAGCTCCTGTACCTTGCATTTCAAGCGGCAACTAAATAATTCACATGTCCCACTCCCATAGCATATTCCTAAAGAATAGAGCTTTTGCGCTTCTGGATTCTGTCGGCTCTTACTAACGTGAAACCTCTAAAATCAAGCTCCACACTGTCTATAGGTTGTGTCAACCAAGTTTCTGTGACTAGCATTACATCCGGCTTAGTAGACTCAATCTGTACACCTAGTTCTGATCGCCTATTGAGGAAGCTTCGGGCATTTGTGTAACATATCCGAAGCACATTCAAATGGCAACCATAGTGACTCTTGTACCATTATCTATGGAAACTTTACAACTCTAAAATTTACAATTTTTAGGTCATTTTCGCCAGCATCTGACCTAAGTTTTAGTTCTTTTTACACGGTCTGCGAGCGGCAAGTCCTTACGGACAAAAACTTCCGACCCCTTTAGTTTATGTCCATTTTGATGCGTTATCAATATATAGAAGATAAACTGATCTAGACTGACTAGCGATTGAAGGGGATGTTGAGTACGGCCTTCCCTCTCGTAATCTGGTACGGACGCATGACCGAGCGCCTTCAGCTAGGTGAGTCTATTAAAACTAATGTGGTCAGTATCCAATGTCGAAAACTTACAGAGCTATTTATTTCTGGAATTTATTTACCGCTAAAGCCCTTTTCAAACAGCGCGGCAATGTTAAGTAGTGTGCGCATGCTGTGGAAATAAGTATCATTCACAGAAGTCCTATTACCTTGTGTAATTCTTTCAAACAGGTCTGAAAATTGCCCCGACTGGTAAACGGTCGCGATAACATAATGTCATTGAAGATTAGACTTATATCATGAATCATTGCGATGGTATCACTTTCGTTACTTAAGGAATGGAAGTTTTCAGAAGTAGTGTAGCTGAACTCAAATCTTAAGATGTCTCGATCTGACCGCTTCCGCAAGACCTTACTCACTGTCGAGGAGACGCATCAACCATTTTACGACAGTCTAACCTCATCGACGACTTGAGATTGTATGAAAATGTGAGGTCGGCAACACGTTGGAGAAACAGTCAGGCGCCATCGCGCTTAGACTGTGTATTCACAAACGAAGAATTCCTAGTTGACAACCTCTCAAAACTGGCTCCTCTGGGAAAGAGCGATCATGCCGTCATAGCCTTCAGTTTTGTCAGCAAAACTAAGCTAAGATACCCCACCAATAACTTGCGTTGGAATTTTAAACGGTTGAATGTGCCATCTCTACGCGACTATCTACAACAGGTGGTTTGGGATGTTCACCCTCAACTCGATGTGGACGGCAATTGGGACTTCTTACTGCACACGCTCTTACGTGCTACAAACCACTCAGATCCTCAAACGGTTCCCAAAAGCTGCAAGCCACCTACAATAATCAAGAACCGTACCCTTCGCCTGCTAAGCCACAAAAGGCACTTTTGGGCGGACTACGAACGAACTGAAAACGACGGAGCGTACAGGCGATATAAACACATCAGGAACATATGCACGAAGGCTATAAGAGAAAGTAGGCTTCAGTACCAGACAAAGCTTATGGACAAACTTGCTTGTAATCCTAAAAGCTTATTCCGTTATGCAGCCTCTCTTCGTCAAGCCAAAACTGGAGCTTCCCAACTGCTAGGTCTTAACGGCCCGACCAACAACGATGGCGACGCCGCTAACCTTCTAACTGAACATTACTCGCAGACATTTCAACCGACCGACACTTACTTTACTGATGACAGTTTCCTTTGCAATTCCACAGGACTTTCCGAAGTGAACCTAAGCTCTGACTTGCTGTTCCGGAAACTGCAGCACTTAAGATTAGACACTTCTCCTGGCCCAGACATGGTCCATTCCGCCATACTGAGGGAAGCAGCCTCAATCTTGGCAACGCCGCTTAGTGTGATATTCTCACACTCGCCAAGTCGAGGGAAACTACTGGAAAATTGGAGGCTGGCTCACATCACACCAATTTTCATAGGAGGTCGACGCAGCGAACCTTCAAGTTAACGACCAGTGTCTCTTCTCTCAATACCCTCAAAAATCATGGAGTCCCTGATATGCGATGGTATAAATGACTATTTTCTGTCCTTAAATTTCTTCTCACCCCAACAACAAGGTTTCAGGAAGGGTTACCTTTGTATTACCAACCTGCTGACTGCGGTGGACGGAATTCGACTTCACATATGTGGAAAAGGACATTCTTTAACCCATTTTGAAATGATCACAAGGGAGACTATCCCATAGGTTAACTAATTTCCATGACTCTGACTCGTTAGGCCTCGTTATTTTCGACATATTCCGCAGTTGATGAAGTAAAGCGACTAAATATCACTGAAAGATGTTCTCATTGTCCCTTAAGTTTTTCAGGTCGATATGCAAGCAAAAATGATGGAGGTTCGCGCCTAACTCACGTTTCAACCTGGAAATTGGGCCTCAACACGTAGATTCTCTTCACAGAAGAGATGAGTGTCCGAACTTGTAGAAAAAACACCACCTTTAAACGCATTAAAGTAGGAGATATTTCCATCAGAAAAGTGCAGGAACACTGGATGAATTCACAGTATCTGAATCAATTCATGGACCAAAAAGAGTGTTGCCACAAATACCTAATGTTGTGATAATCAAGTACCTTTGGGTTTGTGAACAAATAAAATCTTACCAAATTTGTAGTTAATTAGGGAGGAACACTGAGTACACTGTCCTGTTGGCCAGTTCATAGTGTGTCTCTGATCAATCTGCATCGAATTATTGTAGCACTGACGATGTCCGACAAACTGTGCAGCGTCCAGTCGTCTGCTGTCTGTCCATCACAGGAAAAACTTAGCTTCATCGATGATATGACATGGTATCAGCGATGATCTATGAGGGTATGTAGGTGCTGAGACACTCGCTGAAGACATGCGGGCTCCTAATATAACATAGAAAGTAGTATTCAGAAGAAGAGGTGGTTGTCGAGCCTTGAGTTCAATAATGTCGAAGGCGGTCAAAAACATTATAAATGACTAGATGTAGTTTTAGAGGTTAAAAATTACACACTTCAACCAATATCCAACATGAAGATGGTATTATAAGCAAATCAATCGGTGAACTTATTCAACTCTCGGAGATTATCCTGGCAACGCCGCTTAGCGTGATATTCTCACACACGCTAAGTCGAGGGAAACTACAACCTGCTGACTGCGGTGGACAGATGGACAAGCATCCTTGATCACAAGGGGAAGATTGATATCATCTACCTAGATTTCTCAAAAGCTTTTGATAAGGTTAACCATACATGTCTTATCAATAAGCTCAAACGATTGGGTATCAGACCACCTCTAATTGATTGGCTCACTTCATACCTAAAATATCGATATTTTAAGGTCAGGGTTAATTTCACTTTATCTCATGCTATGGAATGTCCTAGTGAGGTCCCCCAGGGCTCAGTACTAGGACCTCTTCTCTTCTTGATTTATATAAATGATCTTCCTCAACAGGTAACGTCAGACTTAGTACTTTTTGCCGATGACGTGAAACTTTGGAGAGAAATACGCAACCAAGACGATATACAGGCACTTCAGGAGGATCTGACTCGAATTCAAAGTTAGACAGACGATAACGGACTTACCTTTAACATTTCAAAGTGTAAAGTAGTCCATCTACGATATGTCGCAGACTACAGTTATAACTTAGGTAACTCTTCTCTAGTAGTATCCCAAGTCAAAAAAGATTTAGGAGTCTTGGTGCCCTACGATTTAAAGTCTTACGCTAACTGTGACAAAAATGACTTCCGAGCAAACCTTGCACTGGTAACATTGAAGCGCATTTTTGACCAGTTTGGCGGAAGAAATTTCCATATAATCTTCAATAGTTCTATCCGTCCCCATTTAGAGTACGGAAACATAGTATTTCCCCTCTCACTCCAAAAGGATAAGGACACCCTGGAGCGTATCCAACGGCGAGCCACGAAATCAGTTCGAGGACTCAAATTTAAACCTTACGAAGAGCGCCTCCATTCACTTAACCATTACCCATTAGAGTATAGACGTCTTAGAGGTGACCTTCTGATGGCTTATAGTATCCTTAATACTTCTGGACATCCTCTCAAACACTTACTTAAGCTTAGTTCCAACACTAACCTAAGAGGTAACACCCAAAAACTGGAGACACAACACAGCAGAACGGACTGTAGACACAACTTCTACTCCTTAAGAGTTGTCAAATGCTGGAATTCGCTGCCGGCCGAGCTAGTTCAAGCGACTTCCCAGGAGTCTTTTAAGAGGCAACTTGATCTATTCTTAAGGACTAAGGATAGTATCGCACTATGATTTATTAATTTCTTTTCCTGTTTTATTGTTAACATACCTAGGTTCCTGCTTGGAGGATTTGGTGATCCCCTGCTACTAGACACGGAAGCCTGTTAAGCGAAAGCTTCTTCTATTCCGTCCACAACCATTTGAACCATTTGAAATGCTTAGTAACCTCCATCAATGGACGATACGACTGAAGCGCTACCTTCCTTGTTCGTTGGATTTACCTGTGACTTGACATTTCGTTGAGCTTTACTACAGTTGTTGGGATCAAAGATCAAATTACAAAGCAACAACAGAGCCAACGTGTACACTACAAAACAGAGAACGCTAAGTTAATGGTTTTGGCATTTATTTCGTGCTTTTTTATGTAGCATAACATGACTTATATATGAAAAAACTTGGTACTCATGCAATCCAACCAACCCACGGCAATTGAAATACGGAATGACCGCCTCTAGTCAAGCCGTTCAAGGTCGTTGAAACGAAAGGGCGGGCACATTTCAAAAGGACCTAACGTTTAAACCTTGCCTCATTTTTGCCTAATTTTTAGAAAAGCCCTGATGATTTATATAATTTCAGCTATGAAATTTGTGATATAGTGAAAAATTTTTTTCAGGTCGAAACAATCGGTTACTTAAGCAAGCAATACAGGGGAAAAGAGATAAAGAGGGAGTACTGAAGAAAAGCGCCAAAGGTCTCCTTTTTCACCTACCTTGATAAAATAACGTGAAACTCCAACTCGTTGTCACTCTATTTTTGAAATGTCGCAGAATTGTACACTTTTCGCTTAATCGCACTCCAAATTGCCTACCTTCCTTCTATCCCAAACTGTCTCCTATGTTCGCATTTATTCCCACTACAAAACACACGACGACTACTACCGACTACATTCAAAAACGACATATAGGTAAAGACACTCGTCGGTAAGCAGTAAAATTGAAAATCAAGTTAAATACTAAAGTACACTTTAATAATAACGCCTTCACTACAATTGTAGTGTTAATATTCCTAATCAAAATAATCTTGTGAATTCTGAAATTTAATAAACGCAAAGATTCACAACAATGTCTAACAGTTATAGTTCGTCAAGCAACTCTCGATCTGAAGTATAAATTAAAAACTCCATCAGTCTTCAGTCTTACGGTTACGTTCGTTAAAACTGAACACCGCCTGTAGCGGAAAGTTATAACCATTGAGTAGTACATACATGTTCTTTTTTTTCTCTGGGATACTTTTACAGTTTTTCCCATGTCATGAAAACACCCTTGCGTCCCAATGTCATGCAGTTTAGCAATTTCTTTTTCGGTGACGGATGATGATAAGAACTGCGATTTTGTTGCGTCTAATGATTAGAAAAGGGAAAAGATATAGTTCTTAAAGCTTATTCTTACCATGCGCTGACTTTTTGACTCTTATGTGATACGTCTGAACTAATGAAGTGTGTGTTGTAAACCATGATGTTATTGCTTGCCAATGAATGTCCCTAACCATATGTCGTTTTTGAATGTAGTCGGTAGTAGTCGTCGTGTGTTTTGTAGTGGGAATAAATGCGAACATAGGAGACAGTTTGGGATAGAAGGAAGGTAGGCAATTTGGAGTGCGATTAAGCGAAAGGTGTACAATTCTGCGACATTTCAAAAATAGAGTGACAACGAGTTGGAGTTTCACGTTATTTCATCAAGGCAGGTGAAAAAGGAGACTTTTGGGTTCGTTTCTCATTTTACTGACAGAATTTTTTTGATTTCCTTTTTTGATTGCTTCGGTTAATATGGAAAATTAGTAGTTTTACCCATGAGCTGTTTTTCTCACTGTCATTATTCTCCTACAGCTACTTCAGTCATTTCAAAGTACGAAGTTTTGGCTTCGTTCGTATTTGTCTTATTGCTCGCACTCATCAAACAGGTAGTTTTTAGTCTCTGAATTCATAGTTTAACTACATATTCCACTTGTTAAAAGTCTGTGGTTGTACGACTTTTGTTTCTTTGTTTTCATAAAAATTCTCATGTTTAGCATTCACATATGGATGACACATGCAGTATTGTTATTGAGGATTTGGCAAATACACATAACGTGAAACCGGAATCAGTGGAAACATGGTTAGCACCATTTGGTGTTGTTAAATGTAAGTGTTAAACTGTGGCAGAATCTTGAACTTCTTTAGGTGTATTTCGAGTTCTAAATTTCAGTTCCTACTTATTTTAGATGATTTTCTATTTGACTCCATCCTTGTGGTGACCAAAGGGAATGTATTAAATATCGAACGGCCAAACACACGAATAATGGGAAAAATTATTTTTGAAATAAGACTTTCATTTACTGAAAGTATAGGCAAAACATTATGCAGTATTTCACTATTGATTATAAGTTGTTTCATGACTTCAATGTTCGATTTATTAAAACACTTTAGTCCTTTGTCACTCACTGAACTTGGTACGAAATAGAAGTGAAGTGACTTTAGCTACAGAAGCATTAAAACTAAGGGCGAATAGCCAACTTTTTTATAGTATTTGATTGAGATCATGAACTGATTGATGTTAGACCATCACAATTGAAAACCTGGAAGCACTGGACGGCCGTTTCGTCCTATTGCGGGACTCCTCAGCAGTACGCATCCGCGATCCCGCGAGCGGGATTCGAACCCAGGGCCTTCGGTCTCGCGCGCGAACACTTAACCAACTGGACCACCGAGCCGGCATCCAATGGTGATAGTTTCTAACATCAACCAATCCACGAAATTGCGCGACCAACTTCCGTTGTACTGAGGTAGATACTTGTCTCTACCCGACAAGGATTAGCTCCACTGGTCACGGCTTCTCACTAGAACTCCGCGAATTCCCTCACGAAGCTAGTCACTAGTCCAGTGCTTCCAGGTTTTCAACTGTGATGGTCTAACATCAATCGGTTCATGATCTCAATCAAAAAACTTAATAATCTCCACAACCCCTATACTAGTTTTTTATGGTAGTTTAAAACTTCTTACTATCACGTAAAAATAATCATACACTTGGTATTTGTAGTAAATGATGATTGTATCCTCAATGATGACTGACTTCAAGGTAGACATTTTGTATTTTTAGTAAAATATTGTAACCTATAGAATCAACCAAATATAGATTATATATAGGTAACTGTTTTGAAACTTTTCTACTTCCATTTGTCTCCTTTTATAATCAGACCTGTCTTGTTCATTCTTGGATACAAGATTTTAACGTTTGTTATGCCATTAAACTAACTGGCTCCTTACACGAAGTACCTATTTGTACATTTCGTTTTTAAATAAGTTTTAAATTAACTGAAACTTTTAATGTAGAAAATTTTAAGAATACTAGTTTATTACTTTTCATCCCAATAAATAGGTACAGTAATTTACCTTACGTTTTCACTACCCATGTTTTTGCAGTTGTATGCTAGCTTCTTGCTACATTTTTCACGAAAGCAAAATAAACTAACATCAACTGAACTTTATCTCCTATCAACCTGTACTGTTGTTTGTTTGTCGATTGCGTGTGTAGCTTTTTTCCTTTCATAATATTGTAATTGAACTTTGTATGACTCGTTTTTCGGTGTATCCTATTGTACTAGATTTTATATATACTACAAATTCTCGTTTCAAATGTCTACTTATCCAAGTAATACACGACTAGGATATTTTAAGAAAACTTCAGATTGAGCAAAATTAACTGTTGATGGATCTACTTTCGGTTAAAGAAAGTTCTTAGGAAATATTTACTTGGTAAATAATTATTTCCATGTTGAAATACCATTATTGGCTACTATTATAGTTATGAATAAATTGTAATTTTCTTGACATTTCTGTCTAACTTTCAACAACCTTGATTTTATAGTCTTTTAGGTAGGAGTGAATGTTTAAGTTTTCGGTATAACTATACCGTACCGACAAACGAATAAAATTTCGGTTCTTGTGTTTTGAGCGAAATTCGAAAAACGAAGAATAGCTTAGACTCCATTAACAGCTAAATAAAATCTGCCAAACTTTTTACAAAAATGCCTGAAAATAATAATTGTGAGAAGACAAAAAGTAGGGAGACACTTGAGTGTCTTTATGAGAGTGGTTTATTTTGCATGAAAAATAATGAAAAACAAATGGAATTAAGATGTATGCAGCATTTTATGATTTATGAGCTTTTTGAGGTAAATCATAGGTTTTTGATGCTTGAAATCAAAGAACCAACTGCATAAGTATTCTTATGCAGATGGCTATAAAGCACTTCCGTCTTAACACTAACTCATAACCCCAAATATTTTTGGTTTTCTGAACCAAATTGTTCATTTATGTCATCTAAACTCTTATCGTCTAATGGTTTAAAGAAAGTTTTCAAGATCATGTGTGGAGTTACTGAATGTTGGTGACAAGTATATTTATACACAGTTGCTTTTTGAGTATTCGGCATTGATCATTAGTAGGTAGAAATCTTGTCCTTCAGCCAGTGAGTTACAGGTCAAAACCTTGCAGCACTTCATTTTGGATAAATGTTTATTATCAGTGTGTGACTAGAAACCGGTCACAAATATATACTCGTTAAACGAGTTGCTATAAATTTACTTTTCAGTGGGTGTATTTATATCTTTTTAGCTATATCTATTTACCGACGTGTGATCTTCGTGGAGTTCGAAAGTCCTTCAGCGGCGGAAAATGTCATAACTAGTGAAAATGGGAAGATGTTTCAGAATAGTTATGTGTCCATACGAAGTCCACAACCATGGGACTTGATGGTTGCTGGAGATCTTGTTACTAAATACGAGGTGCCAACTTCATCTGAAGCCAATAAAGAAGCTGAAGTGGAAGTAAAAGACGAAAATGCATCTAATGGCAATGTTCATACGGAGGTTGAGGAGTGAGTTTATTTTCACTAGTCTATCGTTCATAAGCGTCTCTGTCATTTGGAGCGATAGTTCTCTTACTTATCCTTTGGCGAGAAATTCCAATTCTGTTGGAGTTTTGACACCGTGCATTCAGCACTTTTACTTGCAAAAATCAAGTTAAGTATTGATCACCAGGACGCAGCTTCATGTTGATTTTGTCAGTGAGGCATTATTGTCCAAATACTTTATGTTGTGGTAGAAAGTCTATCTCATGGCTGCTTAGATAGGGAACCAGGGGCTTACTGGTTAGGGCATTCAACTTTAGGCTACTAAGTCCCTCACACTTAAGTTCTGGTTGATACCCAGGTGAATAAGATAACTGTCATAAAATGAATTGTCGCTGTTTTGGAGAAGTATTTGGATATATCTCCCAAAAAACATACCTAAAGTTTCTAAAGGTTTTCTGCCGATGACCTCCCCCTATAATTATTTCTGAGTAAGTTTGATTAGCGTTTTCTATCTTTAACAGTAGTGTTGCTAATAAATCATACTTTCTTGATTGAAGCACTATTACTATGGATTGTATTCATTACTGTAAGTCGACATCTCACTCTGTGATGTGTGGCAGTGGAAGTATAACTGGTTGTTGAGTGTGGGCAAACAGCCACAGCCTACGGACTATTAAATATGTGCTTTCCCTTATCATTAATTTCTACTCTGGGCTCACTGTGTGAGACTACTTGTAGTTGTGTTGAATTAAGTATTCTCTAGTGTTAATCTGATTCTCTATTTTGGGTCGCGAATCCTGGTTCTGATATAAAGTGATTACTCTTATTAACGTATTATCGTAATGTACATGTGAGAGGAAAAAAAATTATTGTAAACCACCAGTTACATTACTCTGCCATATTTATTGATACTCCCTTGTATGTTGTTGACATAGAACCTTGAGCTTAGGTTTTATGCTAATCAAATATCTCAATGGGTCTGATCGAAACGCGCAGTACAGTCTGTTAAGTCACCAAGTATTGATACCATTCGTAAAAGTTGTTAGATTTTCATAATAGCATCTTCACAGTGTTGTACATCAGTAATTGTAAACTGTTAGTAACACGGCACAGAATCAATCACAATAACTTGAGCGAATTCAACACATATCTTTAAAATGTGGAACATTTTATTGCTCATAAATTTAAATGACTAGTTGTTCATACCTATACAATTTGACTTTCTTTCCTTTATTATTGTACTTATTCCATAATTGTGATAATGATGATATTTTAGGGTAAAAAAATTAATCACACATATAAAATATTTGGATAAAGATGAACTCTGGACGTTGTATAATGCATTACAAGATATGCGAAATGAAAGGGGAGCGAAGACTAAAGTTAAAACTCGTAAGTTTCATATTTCTGCAGAGTACAGCTGATCTTTTAAGCCATCTATCTCCCATAAAATTACTAGGAAGTTTAATTTTTAATTTACTTACTATTTATTTAACCATAATTGAATTTTGTTAATAAGTTGAGACTTGACTCAGTAGTACGAATAACTGAGTTGTAGTTGAAAGGAACACTAGGTGTTTTTAGGTAGCCACTAATCAGTTCTTGTAATTCAGTCACCATTCCAGTGTGACTGAATTGTTATTTTAAGATAGGCATAGAACTTAAGTGTTATTCTTAGCTAAGAGACTAACTTCACAGTCGATTAGGTGTTGAAAGAGAAAGCCAATGAGTATATATATATAGGCTTCTAAATTTAACACTATTATTATTATTATTATTAGCTTTATTCAATATTATATTTTTGGTGCAATATAGAATTATCAGCGCAAATTATTTCAACATGTTTCCGTTTATTTCTTCTTGGTCGGTCCTGGCGATAAATATTGAGTGATCGCCAGTTAGATGTTAGCAGTTCAGTAAATGAATATCTGAATAATGTGCATTTTTTTTCGTTGTATAGTGCCAGCAACCACATTGTCTCTTATTGAGTTTTTTGTAATTTTGACAACGAAAGGTTGTACACTTTTCAGAAACGCAATTGAATAGGTTATGCGATTAATAAACATAATGATATATTAAAACAAACAAAAATAGATAACTTGTTGAGATATCTAGATGGCAGGAACAGGTAGCCCAGATGCTCAAGCAGGCCGCCCTTTATAGACAGAGCTGGAGTTATTAATTTTACCACACTGATTCGTGTTCTAATGGGGACACTTCACAAGAGCACCTTATTTGGTTGACGCGAGCTACCATAGCGAGTAATGTCATAATTTATACATCAATCACTATAATTACTTCTGATAGAAAGATAAAGCATAATTATTTTTTTTGATTTTTCACCTATGAACCAAATAGACATTATGTCTAATATTTTTAAAATACTTTTTTCTCACTAACAAACCCTTCAAGTTCCTTCTGGTCGACCTTGGCTTGATTCAATAGGCAAAACTCTATTCACTGAAAGGACTGAAACATTGCACAAATTAGAATTAGAAGATAGTAAAATAAATCGTCGTCGTTTTATTCAATGTGACAAACTATACACTGAAGCCAGTAACGAATGTGAAAAAGCATGGTTCAATATAATTGACCAAGAAATTAGTACGTGTAATGCTCCTATACTTCCGGAGGGTAAGTATGTTCTTTTTGTTGTAAACAATGACTTAAAATTTGAAAAAACATTCGACCATTTTTTACTAGAAAATATTTTCTCACTCACTTCAAATTAAGTTATGTTAGCAAGCAATCAAATTGTTATGTTCTGCTACTGGTAAATATGATCCTGCTCGCGAACTCAACTTGTTACTCAAGTGAGAACATTCAGAGTGAAACGTAAGTATTTTTTGGCAAACAACAGAGAAAACACTACAAATTCATATATATATATATATATCGTAAATATTCAAGCCATACTATCCTACCAATATGCTGTCTCATTGCTTGGAAAAGGACACCGCGCTTTGCCCAATCATGTAGGCTTATCACCTGGCCGGTGTTCTACTGTGCCACTGTATTACAAATCATAAAAAATAACTTTTTCTTATTCGAGATTTGTCAGCTAAACTTGTTTTTATAGACTTTTCTGTTTTTAGAATGGCTCTTGGTGTTTGCATAGCTACACTACAGATTGTCGAAATCCTGGTTAATGTGCACCAGTTGAAATTTAATTTAACGACTAACTGTCTTCTTTTAAGATATATGTTATGTTCCCTGTCTTCGCCAATAATTTGACTAGTGAAATTTCTATACTCACTGACGATTAATAAATCCATAGAAAATTCATCCGTTCTCAAAACAACCAATCAGAAAGACTAATCAAGTGACTTGTGTACCTTGTATTATTCAAACTCAAAAACTCATATGATTTTATACATATAACACTGAAAACTGCAACACACGATAGATAAAAGTCTCAATACGCACATACATAGGAATTTGTGATACAAAGTTAAAGGACAGGTGTATGATTGGTTCACTGTAGTAAATAGACGGCAAAGATTTGTCAATAGTTAATGACTCAAATGAAGGCTTATAATTCAATGTAAAAATACCTTCGATCACTTGTTGTCTAAAATTTATGTACAAGTTGATTTCCTCAGGAAAAGATTTTCGGGTTCGATCATTATATATATATATATATATATATATATATATATATATCGCTCACATGGAATCCTGAAGGCCAAAGGAGGAGAGGAAGACCAAAGAACACATTACGCCGAGAAACGGAGACAGACATGAGAAGAATGAACAACAATTGGGTCGGACTAGAAGGGAAGGCCCAGGACAGAGTGGGATGGAGAATGCTGGTCAGCGGCCTATGCTCCGTTGGGAGTAACAGGCTTAACACAACACACAGGATATCTTATCGGCATACCCTTTTTCCATAACGGATTTTAATTAAAGTTCTTATTCATCAACGTTAATGAGGATAGTAACACTAATTGTGCTGATGAGTATACAACCAACTAACAGACTCGTTCACACGAAGTAAAGATATAGAAACAATAATGAGAAATGACGATGCAGTTAAACGACCTAACTTCTGAAGGCTTTCAGAAATATTTCGAACAGTGAAAACGGAGTTGAGACTCATGTATCACCACAAATAGAGGAGTTCCATAATATGGTTAAACGGCCGTCCACTGTTTCTAGGTTTCAATTGTAGTTTAGTTAAAATTATTTCATGATTTAAACTATGAAATACATTTGTTGTAACCTCAGTCATTATTGAACAGAATAGTATGGAGAATTTATGAGTACGTTTTGACGTTAGTCAGAAATAATTTCATGTATAATTTCTGATAACCAGAAGTAGATAGTTATCTGCCCGCTACCTACGCACAAAAAATGACGGGATTTTGATTCCTCGTCTATCACATTAATAGATATTTAAAGAATTTTTATGACGCCAGATAAAATAACGTTCATCCAAAATAATGTACAGCATTTTTAAGTACATGTTGAATAACTTGCTTTACGAAATGTGTCATTCTGCCAAGTTTGCGATTCATGATACAGAAAGCAAACATCTATAGACAACAAGAAAAAAATTAGAACTACTGATTGTAACCCTTAATATGACTGTAAAGGCTATAATTTGGTAATCGAAACAGATTCTCACTGGTAATATAAAAATAAGCTACACATATGATTTCTACCTCCAGAATCTTTCATCTCACTGAACCAGCGAAAATCAGAAAATAAAAGTCCAACCTGCGACTTCATAATTAGATAAAATATTACTCTTTATACATTTGTGAACAATATAAAAACCCAGTAAGTGTAACTGTGTGGTTCATGTAAATTGATTCAACAACAGTGTAAATTGGCCAATAAAGTTGTTCCGACCACATCTGCATAAATCAAAATCCGCAGTAGGTAAATATCTATTCAATCGATCAGTCATTTAAAATCTTGATTTCTATCTACTACAGCCACTTCCTATTAACTACAAATAAACGTAACGTGATTTATGCTTACTTTACCATCTTCAAAACTGATTTTGATGTAAACGATAAACAGAAAATGTTAACATAAAGGACAGAAGAACATTACTTAATTACGCCCGTTACTTTTCGTAGAGGAGCATAGGCCACCCACCATCATTCTCTATCCAACTCTGCCCTGGGCTGTCCTTTTCAGTTCTTTCCACTTGATATTCATTCTCTTCATATCTGCTTCCAATTCTCAGCGCAATGTGTTCTTTGGCGTTCCTCTTTTTCGTTTCCCTTTAGGATTCCAAGTTAGCGCTTGCTTCGTGATGCAGTTTGATGATTTTCTCAATGTGTGTCCTATCCACTTCCGACATCGTTTCATAATTTCTTCCTCAGATGGAAGTTGGTTTGTTCTCTCTCACAGTAGACTGTTGCTGATGATATCCGGTCAACGGACATTCACTATCTTACGATATTTAGAATTACTCCTACCTTTTAGATAATGGTTGTGGTAATTCTCGAAGTTTCAGCTCCGTACAGTAGAACTGTCTTGACGTTCGTATTGAAGATTCTGACTTTGATATTGGTTGACAGTTGTTTTGAGTACCATATGTTCTCCAACTGTAGGAATGCGGCCGTTGCTTTGCCAATCCTTGCCTTGACGCCTGCGTCAAGTCCTCCTTGTTCGTCGATGATGCTGCCAAAGTACGTAAAACTTTCCACCTGTTCCAGAGTTTCTCCATCAGATATGATTTGGTTGGTGTTCTCTGTGCTGTATTCGAGGATATGAAGTGTGGCAATTTGGACCGATGCATGTATGTTCCTGGTCCTACGTTGTAACTGACTGACTGACTCGAGGATATTGCTTCTTCACTTGAGTATGTTGAGGCTTCTGATGCAGAGGCTGCTGCTACACTAGTTGTCTTCATCTGCATCTGTTCATGTGTATGGGATAGAAGGGCCAGGTCATCTTCGAAGTCCAAATCATCTGGTTGATTCCGAGCTCTCCATTGTATTTCATGCTTTCCCTCAGATGTGGAAGTCTTCATAATCCAGTCGACCACGAGGAGAAAGTGAAAGGAGGAAAATAATCAGTCTTGTCTGACTCCGGTCCTTAGCTGTCCTTCATGCACGACTTTGCAATGTAATCGATGGTGTGAATTCCGTATGATATTGACGATTTTCTCAGGTACACCATAGCGTCGAAGAAGTTTCCATGAAGCCCTTCTATCTACACTGTCAAGTGCATTCTCATAATCAGTGAAGTTGATGTATAGTGATGAATTCCATTCAGTTGACTGTTCAATGATGATCCCTAATATCGCAGTTTCGTTTGTGTACGACCAATCATTACGGAATCCAGTCTGTTAGTCTCAAAGTTGGAAAACAAAAAAGAATAATAATAAATGCTCTTCGTAAAATTCATAAAATATTTTTTAAACAATTTCAAGAACTGTTCATCATTGCATTGAATACTTTGACACAAAGACTCGCTTTAACTGAATAAATTTAAGCCACTTCATTAACATGAAATCTATTCAGTTATAAAAGGCAAATATGGAAATAAGTTATGGATAACAACCAATTAAAGTACATATCAGAGTTGACGATTTCGAACATTAGAATTTTCATAACTTACGAACAACAATTAACTGATATTATGATATAAACATAAAATAATTTAGTAAACAAGTGACACCTGAAAATTAAACCATAAAATTTTGACGAAAACGATTGTATGAGTTAATTAACTAAAAAAAGAGATAAATTCTCATTGGAACGATACAAAATATTCACTGAAACCAAGATAAGCAGTTTTAAACTAATCATTTGATCAATTCCAAACTTCCAGAAAGAGAAACTTCCTGAAAGATCGCTTAATAGAACTGCTAAATTAATAGACTAAACGTTGATAAACACATTCTTTCTGTAATGCATAATAAACATGTTAATATCAATAATATGAATATTTATCAAAATACTATTCTAAGTTATTGGAAAAGGATATGAATTATTTATGTAAATCTGAATTACTACTACCTTGGGTGAGGGTATTAGTTTTAGTGCTAGCAAATAAATCTTAAGAATCATCTAAGGGATTTTAAATAATAATACTGAAACTTTGTTAAAAATGGCACTTACTATGAAATCACTATAAAAATATTCAAGCGGTTGATTAGTATGGAAATTTCCTAGAATAAAACTAACTTAAAACCCATGGCGATAATATCAAAAGTTACATGATAATAACTAGAAAACCCAGTGAAATAAAATTTAAGGAACTAAAATAAAAAAAGGATTTATAATTATCAGTAACATGAAATAAAATGTTACGCGGTTACATATCAGAAACTGAATCCGTCAGAATCGCAAGGAACTGACAATTTTGTCTTTCTGAATAAATCAACGAGATTTCGATAATTTTAATCTAGGTAGATGGCTTCCACAGAATGTAATGAATTCGGAGCTGTTTGTTTACTTGTTGATTATTTTGGAAGATTTTAAAATTTCAATATTGTATCCACTACTAAGGCAAATAAAGGATAATCCCACTGTTGAAAACATATTGACTTTTTAGTCTCAATTTCTGTGGAATGTGGTGAGAGAGATACGAACTATAACTGTGCTTCATAGTCCTTCAGAGTATGTATATGTATATATGTATGCACATATATACAAATTCACAACTACAGTTAAAGGTAAGATGAAGTTTGAATCTTCGAATTTTTGTCTTGAACAACAAGCAATTCGTATGGTACAGATAAATTAATTTAGCAGCTGCAGCATCATTTTCAATACAACACTCAGTCTAGAATTCTGTTGAAGATATTTATACTGGTTAATTAGTAGGCTTATAAAACTTCATTTTAAGAAAACTTTTCATCACAGGCTAACATAAGCCATACAGTTATTAAAAGACAAATACCAACCTCTGATCTATCCTCGTGTTAAATAAATATTGTCAGCACCATACGAGATTGAACTCAAGGCCTTCAGGTCTTGGGGTGAGCACGATACAGCAAAAATGAGTCGATATCCAACAATCCATTTTCGGATTTAATTTTATGTCTTATCCAGTGTTGTTAATGACTAGTGGCCTTATTTCTAACGCGTCTGGTTCAACTGTGTTCTCACTAGTATTTTTTAGTAAGTCTATTTTGGCAGTTATACATCAGTTAGAACACGGTTATATCAACTTTATGTCGACGGTCAGTAGATCCAATAAATTACCAGGGATTTATTTAAGATTCATATGTGATTAACGCTATTTGTGCTTACTTTTAATTTTGTAGATATGAACAACATATCGTTCCCACCAATAGTAGCAGCCCCTCAACCTCAGATAAATGGGCCTGTATATGATTCCACAGGATTTCTGATGCCATATCCCAATCATTTTCCTTCAGATACTTGCTCTAATGAATATTCTGCTGTATAATATATGCTTAACCAAATATATACATACTTTAAAAATAATTTTATTTGTTTTCACCTTATTTCGATTGGTTGAAAATAATATGGCAACTATCCTACAACCAATTTCGATTATGGTTAATTTTGGTTAAGCCCTTTTATTAACTTACTTAATAGACAATCTTATTTGAACAGTAACAATTCTCGTATTTCTTAATGGCGTTATGATCACTGGAGCACATGACAGACTAGCTAAAGTGTTGATCGCTTATATATCACTCGATGATTCATCCTCCTCCCCATATATAATGTACTCAAATCTTATTATTAGTCCTTGCTGCGCCCTTATAGATTCTATGGCAGTCTCAATAAATATATGCGATTCTACTAATTTAACTTTTCACATAATCGACGGGAAATACGAATTTCCAAACCTATTAGAACAGAAGGCCAGATGAGTGTTCACAAGCACTTTTTTACTGTATTTCCTGTTCTCACTGATGTCGCTAATTCAACACAGCGCACTTTAAATAACAGGTTACAGTTTGTATAAAATTAGGATCTTTTTGGTACTAAGTTTTGGTAATAGGCTTATTACTAGCTTTCATTAACTTATGGAAAAAAACATGATACTTAATGAATTAAACTGAAGGTTAAAAGACTATAAATTAATCATGTAATGAATTCATAATAAATGTATGTATGGTTTCCAAATCTACCCATTTTCATTTATTCCCCTATTTATAACACCCATTATTTCGATTCTTTTTTTGGGTCTTAACAATTTTGAGTACTGATTATTAGCAAGCCAATTTCTCGGCAATAATTTAAAACCTTAAAATATTGATTCACAGATGTTAACACTACTGATGATATATCTGACAGATTTTCGTAAGTATATCAGTCGTTCGATCCGTGTTTTATCCTGCATAGTTGAACACAGACAGTAGTAGATGCCCAAGAACAGTCAGTCAGCTACAACGTAGGACCAGGCACATATATACATCGGTTCAAGAAAGATTTCAATAGGGATATAGTACAGGAAGAAAGAATTAGTACGTAGAAAGAAGGATATGAAGCGATTTTAATCTCACGGTTTAAAGGAAGACAGAGAGTGTATACACCTACGCCATTGTGATCGATTCTGAGTCATGTCACCAAGAGTCTCCAACCATTGGTTACGATAGTCACGCGGACCCCAACCAAGTAGTCTGCATCTACCAACATGGCTCAGACTAGAAGTTAGTGACTTCAAGCACTGATGCCACGTTTTTGTTTGGCCGCCTCTAAGTTTCTTCCAACCATCTCCAACACCGGTTAGCATTGCACGTCGTGGTAATCAGTGTTCAAGCATAAGTAACTCGTGGCCCATCCCTCTCAGTCAATGAAGATTCACAACCTCATCAACTGATTTACCATCATTCCCTAATACCCTGTCGTCTAACCTCACTATTACTTACCCACTGATCTCAGCAGATGCGAGCAATATTTCTGAAGCATCTGTGACCAAATACTAGTAGTTGACGAGTATCTTCTACTCTTAATGACCAAGTTTCGCAGCCGTTAAGTGGAACAGAACGAACTGCTACGCAGTATACTCGTCCCTACATTGATAGACGGATATCTCGCCTTCGCCATAGGTGACGTAAGTTGACAAAAGCTAAGCGAGCTTTTCGAATCCGTGCTGAGATTTCGTCCGATACCAGCCCATTGGAGTTAATCAGACTTCCAAGATAAGTGAAGTTGTCAACGCGTTCGACTACTTCACTCCCTATCATTAGTTCAGGTGTCCTGAAGCAACAACTTGCATTTAGAGGGAGAGAAGCGCATTTCAAACATTCTGGCATTGTTGCTTAGTGCTACCAGAAGACTCTGCATTTTGTCAGCGTCTTCACCAAACAGGACTATGTCATCTGCGTATTCTAAGACGATAGGTGGACCTCATGGAAGCAGATCAATACCCGAGAATTCAGTCGACGAGAATGTTATTTCCATCAGTAGATCTATGATGAAGTTAAACAAAAATGGAGGATGTAGACATCATTGACAAACACCACTTGAGGATGCAAAAACAGATGACAGTTCGCCATAAGCTCTGACTCGACTAGTAGTGTTCGAGTAAAGAGCCTTCACAAGGTTTATGTACTCCTGAGGTACACCTCTCAATGACAGGCACTGTCATAGGATCTCGCGGTCTACGGAATCAAATGCTGCTTTTAAGTCAAGAAAGACCACCACTGTCGGATGCCGATAAGTATGCTTCTGTTCTAGAACCTGACGAATGGTGAATATGAGGTCGATGAAGCCAACTTGATTTTCTCGTGTTTGCAGTTCACGAGTCTTAGTTAGGCGTCCGATCATTATCGAGGCTAGTATTTTAGATACTATATTAGTTGAACTAATCCCTCTATGGTTGTCACAGGATGATTTTAACCCTCTCTTATATATTGGGACGATAAGTGATTGTGACCAGTCAGATGGGATTACGTCCAACTCTCAGATTTTACCTAAAATATTAGTAACCTTAATCGCTAAAATTGGACCACCATCCTTAAAGACCTCTGGAGCCAATCCATATGGACCAGCTGCCCTTCCTCGTTTCAGATTAACTATAGCCTTTTGAACTTCTGCTAGAGTTGGAGGACCTACTTCAATGTTCCATTCACACTGTCTGGGAATGGTGGGTAGTTGTAGAGTAGCTGAAGGCCAACCGAATTGTTCTCTAAAATGTTCCGCCCATCGTTCTAAACGTCTGGATTGAGAGCAGATGAGGGTCGTCTTTTTCCGAAATAGCCTGACTTACACTTGACTTATTAATTCAAGTTTCTTTTATTAGTCTGTAGAGCTGTCTTGTGTTCCCTATAGTCGCCGCCTTTTCCATCTCTTTTGATTTCGTTGCCCACCACTGCTCACGGTCGTTCCTTAGACTTTTGCCTAACCTAGATCTGATTTGTTTTCGCTCTTCATCGTGTTCAGAGCCTGATGGGATGAGTTTACGAGAATCCATCAGTGCAATAGACCTTGACGAAATTCATTGGTTCTTTGTAACCCTGTGGTTTAAATCATTGATAGATTTCACTGCTGTTTGTATAGCTTCCCAAGCAACATCTGGGTCAACCTTGATTTCAGAACTACCTAAGTGTGACCTCAGTTGTTCCTGGAACCTACTTTCGGTTTTCTCGCTACTCAATTCAGTTCTAATGGGTCTTTTTAATGTGGCATTTTTGCGTCCAGTGAGGCGCAAGCAGATTCGTGCCCGTATTAGGGCATGGTTGGAGTCCAAGAAGGTACTCCAGAATGAGCGACAATTTTCTACCGACCCTCTCCAACGATGACTGACGGCAATATGGTCTATTTGAGTCCATCGTTGGTTTGGTGTAGGGGGTCACCGTGTTAGACGATGTCTCTCCTTACGCTTAAAATTGGTGTTTGCTAAAAATAAACGATTGTCTGAACACAGTTGCAGCAGACGATCACCATTATCTGTTCGCTGAGCCGGAATACTAAAATACCTACCTAAATGTCCTTCTGTTTGGTTTAAGCTACCTATCTGGGCATTAAAGTCACCTGCTACGAGTACTATGTCTGAACGTTTAGGTTTCTGAAGTTCAGAGAGCTTTCTGTAAAGTTCATCCGAGCTGCAGTCAGTGGGAGCGTAGGCAGAAACGACAAAAAGGCAATGACGTGTGTCCCTATCCTTCGGAGCCGTTTAGCTGAACAGCACATAAACGACTGTTAACGGTGATCCAACAACAGATTGTAAACAATGTCCACTCGAATTAAGATGACTTACTCCAGCCATCAACAAGTTAAAATGAAACTTATCAGACTACTTTTTCGCTTTACTATTGATGAAACCATTGACATTCGTACAAGAGGTTCAAATCATATGCGTGGAAAATTCTAATTATCGTTTTCTCCTGCGATAGTTGTAGTGTCTTTATTTGCGAACCGTCACCGTTCTCTAGTGACCATTTGTCGATTTATTTCTCCAGTCCTGTCTGTTCACACTTCATTTTCAGATTTATCTTATTATATTATCCGACCTACCTTAATTATTGATCTGTAATTTTTTAAACACCCCATAATCTCTTCATAGTATTAGTATCACTATTATGCAACACATATGTGTATTTGCGATTTTACAGCGTCAAGAATGAAATCAGTGGGAAAAACCACTGTTTTTGCCTTTCAGTGGTGCACTGACGCGATCCTAAGACACCATTTCCAAATGCAGCCACTCTATAGTGATAGTCATCTTAAACCAGTTCGTAAACGTAACGGAGAAGACACTGGCGCACGCATCTAAAGTGCTGACCGGCAATGTAAATTGGAAAATAATGTAGGGTAGGCAACTTATATTGCTAACAGATCACAAATCCTAACTAAGTCTTTGTTTCCAAATAAGGAGTATCCGGACTCTGCACTGGGAAGTAATGTTACTGGTTTCAGGTGTTGACGCACAGTACTGACGATGTGAAGATTTTGGACATTCTTATAATTATACAGCGGGCACCCGGACAAACTACAAACAAGGCTACGCTTGCTATAGTCCCGTCTTAAGTGGTTCTCCATCATTCCGGTAAATGGCCAGGCTAACAAAATAAAACGAATAACCAGATACATTTGACAGGACTGACCATCATCTGTAAAGTTCAGACGGCTATATCGAAGATTTCTATGTATTGCAAATGCCTATGAAAAAGTTAACCCACTAACACTACGATGGATAGAACCATGTCAATCTATTGCAAGCACTCAGATACTGTTCATATTAAGTCTGTTGCTGGTAACTGCATTCTGATCGAAGATGGACCCTTTTAGTAAACAATTCGATGAGCCATGTGCAGTACCGACAAAAACCCGAGAAAGTTCCAGCAACGCGAATATGCACAGGTTTCTGAGGCCATATTTCTGGACTTTTATACTAATTGCTAGTAGATCATTCAGAATTAACCTGATAGTGTTCATTAGTTGAAAAGCAAATAAACTATCCTTTAAAGTCCTCCTGGGGCTCATATAGACGTTACTGGATGATATCACTAACACCCGTTTGGCGTCTAAAAACCCTTAGTCAAATGAACACTATATTTTAAGAAGGAAGGAGTAGTAGTGTTTAATATCTTATAGTTCCCACTAATTTATCGGAAGATCCCTTGTAATACAATAGCGAAACAGGTAGAATTCAGTCAATTCTCTGGACAATGAATGGTGCGATGAGGATGGTTGACAATCGAAAATAACCGACAGGACATATATAGTATAAGCTAAACCGTATTACAAAGAGGGTGACTTGAATTTGTTGTAACGATCGGACAAGGACATTCGAATACGACATGTCACATCCAAAGATGATTGCCCACATACACCCAAAATATTTTTAGAGATAAGAGAATGTGTACTAATTAGTAATAAAAATCGGACGAGTCATAGAACCGTTTAAATGGTTAGTGCCCAGCAGATGACAATTAAGTTGCGTTGTGAAGATAACCTTGAACTCTCTTATCTTATCAAGGACTGCCGATTCATATATACCAAAATGACTCACACTTTTGAAATTAAAATCTCAGATGTAAGACTAAGAAGAGGGTAATTGAGTTCGAAAACGTGAGAAACAAATCATTACCCCTTTAAGAACAAAATAAGTCTTCTAAGTAATGAATGGAACTAAATAAAACTAACGATGAAAGAAACAATTCTTTTGGTTGATTATAAATTTTAAACATGATTATTCATGAAAACAAAGCAAAATTAAGATAGAATTTAATTAGACTCTTAGTCTCACAGACAAACACATATACACAATAGGCAAACGAGTATCAGAATAATGGGTGCTGAGAAAAAAAATATACACAAACGAATTAAAGCGTTGAACGAAAAATTCATTAGATAACAGCACTACTGCTGTGTAAAACAAAGAAAGACTATTAATAGCTAGTCGATAGAGCACACCTATTCAGTGGACGATTAAAGTATACACAAAAAACAACGAAAAAAGGAAAACATGAAAGATAAGTCATTCGTAAGAGAATGCGTAATGCAAACGAACATACAGAAATATGTTATATACAAAAAGATAGTGTTTTAATACAGGTCAGTGAGGATGATGAAACGTTTCTCACGCAAATTAAACCATTCATTGGTAGATAAATTGTGAAAAGAAAAAAACAATACAATGATATTTATAGAATAGGTGGTGCTAACAATTAATTATTATAAATCTTACGAAAATAATATACATATACATATATGTATATATAAATATGTACAAAATTGAAATTTCTACAACATACCACTATAGACAACGTTACAAACAAATTAGTGATTATGTAAAAAGAGAATAAAGAAAATCATGCCGTCGATGAAACTTTAATATGAAATATAAATGTACAGAAGTCACAATTTAACAGTTATTGCGAAAAATAACACATAAATTATACTTTCGGATATAATATATCAAATGTTTCTCAAGTAGTAGGGAAAAATTGACCCCGAAAATAATGATGAATTATTATTTTAGGGAATGTGATTCTAGCGTACATCGACTGGACTTTCAACAAGAAGAATTCATTCATGATATAATCCGACGTAATTAATGAGATCTGAACAATTTCATTATTACAATTTAAAACAAAGTAGGTTTACGTAATTACATTAGAACAGTACGATAAAACTTCAGCCGGAAATCTAAGCATACATTGCTTCCATATAGACAATTAAATATAATCAGTAGATAAGCTGCCATAGGAGTGAAAAAGAAGAGTGGATGACTATCGAAGAAAAAAATCTTTAGTACAAAAATTAGGCATGAGTTGACAAATAAGTCAGTAGATTATTCAACAAATACAGACTTGTTTAAGAAACCTGATGATATTGGTTTTTGTTCCATTCTTTAGGTAAGACATCAGTATTATAAACACATCATAATGCACATTTTGCGAATTTGGCGCAGTAACATCGATTTCTTTACAGCCAAGCGTTGTAAAAAATAGTAATTCAGGGAACAGGTTAAGTAAGATCAGTAATCTGGATCAGATGGTTCAGATTCGTCTGCTGAATCACTTTCTTCACCACTAGAACTCGTCGCCATCTAGGTTTTTAAAAAAACATTAGGAATATAAGTTGAGGACAAGAATTAAATTTATCAACTACTGAATAGTTTTAAGTTAAAATATCTGATCAAAACAATAAAGTCATAATACTTTGTTTTTTTTCAAGTGTAGAACTCTTTGCTTAACAGATATTTATTGACTTTTTTCTTGAGAACACTGTATACCTAAGTTTCACAACGTTTGTAGAAGAAAGAAAAAGGAGTCTTTACAAGGAATGGGATTAACTAGGTTAAATATTGCGTAAGTTGTTGCTATGAAGCATACTATCCGTATATATCTACAGCACAGAAACACCTTATAAATTAAGGTGTAACTAAAAAGAAAATACAACTGGAGCTAGCAGACTGCGCAGAAGAATTTGGCGTGTTTACAATAAGATCATTTATTGTATTTGGTTTAGCGTTTTCAAGCGCACATGTGTTTTTCTCTACCAACACAAGGCAGAGTTTGCAAAATTGTGTCGTAAAAATACAGTTGTATAGAAGATAGACTTTCAATAGAACATATGATACCCTGTTTACTGATTTAAACATTAAAATGGAAGGATTATTTGAAGAATAATTCCTTAGCAACTTTCATGAAAGAAAAATCAAAGTTTATTTTAAAAAATCTCAATTACTATGCATCGTTTTCGACGTTTGCGCTTATTCTTTGCATTTCGACCTAACGGATTTTTCGAATTGCCACGTAGATTGAGAGCTGGTTTTCGTTTTTTTGTAGGAGCTGATTGTGCCAACATAAGTCGAGAAGCACCACCTACCTAGAAATCAAAATGAAAGCAAACGCAGTTATTATACTTTCTTAATAATTTGTTTTAATGAAGTGAAATAAACACACACAATATATTTACCATACGTTAATACAACACATAACTAAATGTACATATTTTACCACAAATTAAGACAAGTTAAATATGAGATGGGGCTCTTATTATATGAATGAGGATGAAAAACAAATGCATTGAAGGAAGAATATAAAAAATCACTAACATTTGAATCTTCTGAATCATTGTCATCTTCCGAAGATTTATTGTGCAATTGCGGTACTAGCGTTCTTATAGATCGACCTTTACTCAACTGCGTACTATCTGGAAGTACAAAAAGTGGTTAATAACTTGGTTTAAAGTATAAGTTGATGATATATTTAAATCAATAACAGTAAAAGTAACTTATTAATTAAGTACAGATATAAAGATTTGAATGAATATAAGTAAGGAGAATTATAAATGCTACCTGAAACTGTATTTAATCGATCATCAACAATAGGCCCACCGGACTGCACTGAAGTATTCAAGTCATCAGGTCCTAGTTCTTCTTCTCCTGGAGGATCAATCGTAAGAATTAACTTCCGGAAGTCTAAGTAATCTCGGATGAGAGATTGCATTTCACTTATCGTTTCTTCTTCACTATCTGCTTGCTTGACATTAGGATTGGACAACTCCACACTACTATGATCTGTTCTAACTGATGATTGCGAATTGCATAGGATATGCGAATCAGACTTATTGATCTCTATTCCGGAAGCTTTTAAACAAGGTATTGGATGAAAATGAACACCGACACGTCGTGTTAACGGCTTCTCCCATAATTTGGCTGAATCAGAAGGTGAGTAACGTTGGATTTTACTGAAATAGAAGGGAAGAAATGTGGAAATGAAACGTCAAGTTTATATATATAAACCATTATCCATCATAAATGTGAGGTAACAACGGAAATAAAGTCATATTTGACTATAACAACCCGTAAGCATGAGATCGTAATCCAACGAAACCGGCACAACTCCTAATCAAAAGAGAACACATGTATATCTGAAAAAGAAATGAGGGGATGAGTTTGGATATGAAAAGTAGTATTTTGAATTCCAGATCATTTGCTTCTTAGATTATCTCTGGGTGATAAACATAAATCAACAAGTATCAACAATAAATTGAAAGGTATTTTCAGCAGGAAAATATTGAAGACAGATTTTTATAGTACACCACACCACCTCAATAAGTAGGTTCGCAAACGTTAGATAAATTTAGAAATACTTTGTTCTTGACTTTGATCATAAAATTATTTCTATAACTGTGCACTTAGAGTCAGTCACAGATGACAAACCAGATCATTTCCTGCTTTTATTTAAGGGCGTAGTTTGACAATGGTAAAATTATGCGCATTGTGATTAACAGGCAGTCATAGTCATATCCCCAAATGCCCTGGTACAGCCGAGAGTGGGAAGAATCCACTCTTCCTCTCGAAATGCTCTCACATAGCCACGCGTATAAAACCACTGCCAGGGAATTCCTACTCACTGCCTTCTGACAGCAGGGGTGTTGTTTACGAAATTGAGGGGACGAAAAGAAAATGTCCGGGTTGATGGATATGGAGGACCCACCTAGGTCGGTTGGAAACCCCTGATTCCAAGCCAATGGTGCATATGGGCTACAGGAACCTGAGGGGAAAAAAGGAGTATGAGCCTTTTGTTGGTCACCGGCTACCATGGGACTGAATCTTCTAACGTTGCTCTACTGCCTTGTGGATTAGATTTCTAGGTCAAGGACTCAGGGAGTGGTCCACTGAGAAAACCACCTGCTTCAGTTGGAGCACCGGGACAGTATCGCAGCCCTCACATAAACCAACTAAATGTGGCGCAAATCTATTTTGTGCCTCCTTATACCAGTGTTTATGCATTTAAATAAATGAACGTTAACTAGTTCAGCTGAAATACAAGCTCCTTTACTGAGAGCATTCTACGTAAGACATTAGCATTCTTAATCTGGTCGATGCAACATTTTATACAGATTTACAACCAAACATCTGTAACTACTTCTTAATTTCGATTGACTACAGTATTACTTCTTTGAGTTGACTTTGAATAATAAAACTAGTTTTGCTAAAAGGTTTTTACAAGACTCTTTTGAGTATTCTGTATGTACTAAAAATTATGATTCTTAGCACATAAAAATGAAGCTGCGAGGAACCGACAATTGTATCATGATCAATATTGATGATTTCAAAATGGTAACGACTTAGGACATTCCATTGTGTAGAAATAATTTTATTTTCTCTACTCGATAATTTGTAATTCAATATTTACTTACATCATGCAAAATGATTCATTTTAGCTTTCTTTATGCAAGGTTTATTTGCTATTCAAGCAACTTTTTGCAGTAAAATGTTAATGCCATAGCTTTCATAAAATTGATTCTGAAAACAGAAACTAACGATTTCCGGTAAATATCATATATACAGAATATTAATCCTTTTTACATTCAAACATGAGATCATTGAACCTAAGATGACTTACCCGTCAGTGATCGAATAAGATTCTTTTAGAAATTGTTTGAGTGTCAACAATAAAACACAAGCGCGACTGGTACGGATTGCGTCGCGAACTATTGGTAAAGATGTTTGGCGAGTCTTAGACAATCTATCAAATAACGCAATCGGATCCTCTTCCTCTTCTATTTCGAAAGGACCCAAATCAACTCGAGAAACACCTATGAGAGGAATAGAAAATGGTTTGAAAATCATAAAAAAATAAATAGTTATCAAGTCACTTGAACCTTGTGACTTTATGTCCGGCTTTTTATCGTGACCTATCCACCAATCAAAATACAATCTTAGCACTGTGCCAAACCAATGACGTTCGACCGGTATGAGCAGCCTAGCGTCCTCATTGGTCCTATGTCCGCCTAGCCCGTACACTTGAATCCAGAACACCAATACCAGCTTCCACTATGAGAATTGAATCATTTATTTCAGACATACAGGGCTTATATATCAGCCAAACAGACCGCAACGCACCATAGAATAGGAAATAACATTTGTACACAATAAAGCCAAAAAGTGGCTGTGAACGTGGGAGGCAGCAGTTAATAAACTGAACATAGCCTAAGAACAGTAAATCGTACAATAATAAATTATAGGTCAAAACAAAGCTTATAACAAGAGGAACATAGATATGCATAATCTAGTTACTGAATATTTATACCAGGAGAATATATAAATAATATTAGTCCATTAATAGGTCTCAGACGTTACTCGTAATGTAATCTTCACTAGGATATAACAAACCTAATTTATAATTTTGTCAATAGTAAACATTGGAGATGACAGCTGATAATTGGTAATTTAAAATAAATAAAAATACACTTACCCTCTGTTCCAATGAGAGCCCCAGAAGGGAATTCAGACAGAGATGCGTTACTGGACATAATAGAAGGATCGGAGGAATTTAAACTGTTTATTCTTTGAATAGTGTGTTGAATTTGATCGGCAATCAATCCAGCTGTTTCATGATCACCTCTACTAATTGCATCAGCTGAGGCAACTTGTTGGGCCTGAAGTTCAGCACTCAATTGCAGCTCCATTTGTGCACGGTTTTTCGCATCTGTCTCAAGTTGGGCAGCAACAACAGCCTCTAGAGCTGCTTTTAGTTCTGGAAAAAGTGCCTCACGAACATTTTTCAAAACTCCCGAACCAGCCATACTAACCATCAAGTCTATATGATGCACAACAAACAGAGGTTCCTCTTGCGATTGATAAGGAAAATGAGCCAGATTATCAGCAACATATACCAACTGACTGAGAGGAACCTTCTATAATAAAAAGGAAGTCAATTAGATTCTGAACGTACTGTTAAACATTCCTACAATGAAAATCAAAACAAATTGTCTACCACAATAAAACAGACTGAAATATAAATGCATTGGTAATATATATTTGTTTTAGCCAGGACCTTGATAACTGACAGTGCAGTTATATGACAACGTAAGATCTAATTTTCCAGATGATAGATAATCATACTGCAAATGAATCTGATGAAAAACTGAGGAAATGTGGAACAAAGTCAGAGAAATTTGTAAAGTGAAGACCGATGGCGTTTAGACGAACATAGTCTGTTATTCTCATGAACACAATGCAACTTTTCTACATGTACATGAGTTGAACTCAGGAAATGACTTCAAAATTCACATCCACCCAGGAAAGAAAATCGAGTAATAGTTTTACAACTCACTTTGAAAATTAATAAAACACAGTTCATGATTAGTGGATATCAAGAGATTTTTCGCAAAAGCTCTTTTAAACAACTAACATAATGTTTAAGAATCAGTTGCTTGAAGTGGATAGACTAATGTCAATTTTAAAAGCTACAAATGACGAAAGTAGTAAACAATTACGTAAAATAAATAAGTACGAACCTGTGAGTCATCGAATAATGATATTAGGCCATTAAGTAGAGAACGGCGTTGACTTTTATTGTTTCTAAGCATCGAATATAGATGCGAATTCATAGCAGAAGGAACTTCACTGAAAGGATCTCTAGTACCGCGAATAGCACCAAAAGAATCTTCTGGAATATTGAGAAGTGACTGAGATTCGAAAACATTTGTAGATGGTGAACACTTAAGATTATCATCTGAGCCCAAACAATCAACCTCAGATCTATTACGGGTAGTTCGACGAGTAGCATTAATAGAATGAGTTGACTTGTGAAAATTTGAAGATTCAGGTGAACCTATTTGCTGAAGAGAAGGTCCCTCAGAAGTACCCTTCAGTTTTTCACGTAACTCATTATATAAAACAAGCTGAAGGCGATATGATAAGTTGACACCTTGTGCAGCTCGCATCTGTGAAAAAAAGTCAAGTAAAATTAGTATAGTTATAACAAGCATACGGGAAAAATAAGCAAATCAAGACATCGTACTTACTGTCAGAAAACCTGGAAATTTGGTGTCTATTTCCTGGAGTTGAGCATCAGCTTTAATACGAATATTTGGATCAATATCGGACTGCATAGCTATCAAGTAGGGTACAGTTTGGACTGGATGAACAAGACCTTGACGAAGAATTGTAGTTATGACAGAAAGGGCAGTAAGTCTCACCGTAAAAAATGGCGAAAAAAATGATTCTAGTATATCTTTGAGATACATTTGCGCAACTGAACTACCCATACCTGAAGCGATATCGCCCATTTCTTTTAATGATTCTTGATGTTGACTAGCCTTCCCTGCAACAAAGAAATCAATATAATTTTATCACAAAGATTCTGAATTATTGAGGCACAAAGTTAGGGGCAATATGACCGAATGGAGCAATTGCAGAATTAAAAAGATTACAACGTTACACAGATTGTGATGGACGAAAATAACCTCAAGAATACATGAGTGAAAAATAACTCGAAGAGTAGAATATTTCATAGTTGTCAAGTACACAAATCTAAATCTGATAAATGGAGTAAATTAAAAAAGTACTGATTTGTCTAAAACTTGGATTTAGTTTTGGCTTTAGCAATTTCGGCAAATCTAACTCCTCGTCCTAACCACCTTTAGTCATCCAGTAACACTAACTTGCTCTTAGTTATATTGAAGTATTTAAGTATCATATCTACGGAGATAGCAAGTACATTCATATATAAAAAATGTAGTTCAATTTCGTCTACTTTACTAAACTGATAACCATCTTGTTTGAAAATTTCTGACTTACTGAATAGAGAGGAATAGGAGGGTGACTGATGGATTTGATATACCAGATAATATTAAGGACTAGATATAAAGTTGTCCGACAAAGTAATTACAAAGTCTTTCAAGTGTTGTTTGATTTCAATTCATGTTCACGGCTTATCTGCATAAAATTCACAGTATCATCCTAAATTTACTGAGAGTTGGCATAAGATATGAAGTAATTAAATTGTCATTTAAATCAACAATAGGCATATCTATGTCTGTAGGTTATTCTCAATTAAAGATCAACAGTAAACAATACAATGGTCAGTTAACTTCTTTTATTCATGAAATTGTTACGACGGAAAATATCTCTGTTATAACTTAGGATGAATGAAGAAACAGTCCAAGATGGTGAACTGCAGAGACAAATATTTTTCTTTATCAAATAATAGAAAAGTGGTTTATAAAACCAGATCATAAACATCCAAAAATAATACATGTTTACCACATTTTTACACGGCCGAAACAAGTTTTGAAATGACTACAAAAATGTCTAAATGGAGCGCAAAAAAATTATTACTTACATTTTGCATCCGCTTCTAGCATGCGTTTTTCTTCCTCAAGAAAAAAGTTTAACAAATTTTCCAGAACAATACACTTTAATTCTAAGTGATGGTCAGATGATTTAGGTTTTGCCTCATCACAAGGAGCTTGTAAAAGATCATGGTAAAATTTACAAAGACGAGGACCGCAAAGTAGTTCGTGATGACGAGTACACAAAAAACCTAATCCTGATAAAGCTTTCTTACGCATTTCGATGTCTGATTTAACTTGTTCTGTGAAAAACATAAGTGTTTCAAATACCTGATCACGAATATTCGCCTACATAGAAAAAAAAATTTTTAAAGATATTATTCTACATTACTTAATCCATTTATAAATATGAAATTACAGATAAAAAAAAGCATCAAAATCCCAAACTATAAAGTCAACCAAAATACTCCCGATGAAAAAACACTACATACACTATTTAATAACTCACGTTTTTGCTTGATCGAAATACATCCGCATCAAAGTGTTTGCAAAGTAAACCGACAGTAAACAGAGCTCTAAGAATAGAAGGGCGAATAGTTGGGGATATTTTGCGTTCAGAATCATTGGACAATTCACTACGAAATTTTTGAAGAGCATTGAAAAACCGAGTGAAACAATCTCTAGCTAGAGAATAGTTTTTCGAAACACGATTGACAACTGCACCTAAACAAGCAACACATGACTCAAGTACCATTTTTCCATGTCGAAGAGTTAGACGAACCATATCCTCTTCAAGTTGTGCAACTAATGTCTCACTAGGATGTTCCATCAAAGGCAACGTGGCTTCTAGAATTCTAGCAACATAATGCAACACATGGGCATCTGATGCTTCATTACAACGAATGGACAAATAGGGTTGTAGTACCATTGTATACTGAACCATTAATTCTGGTCTGATTTTTGTTAATAAATGAAGTGTTGCCAAGCACGCTACTAATCTCTGATTGCTTTGACTTGAAATTTCTGAAATACCAAAAAGATATGCAGAAAATTATAAACAATGTCGTACTTTTTGAAAAGACTAGTAATTAATACGCTTTCTTCTATGAATATTATCTTAATCAGACTTTTAGTCAGATAACAGCTTATTCTTCAACAACATTTAGTGAGTAACTTCGAGTCAAATGAAATATTAGTGACTTGATTCATGGTTCTGAAATTCAGATTCGTTCCATCAAGTAAGAAAGTGAACGATAAATTTAACCTACTGTTAAAAAATGAATTATTAAGGAAAATAATAGAGAATTAGACACTGTTCCTGTATCGCTAAGTAAACTGCTATCCCGCACAAAAATACATAGCTGTGAAACACTTGTGAGTAATAACAAGCCGATAACAGTCACTGACCAAAGATATAATATCATAAATATATTTCTGAAGAACAAACAGTGAAAACCGACAAATATTTAAGGAAACCCAATATTCAAATAAATATAAGACACTTTCGTAATTAGATTGGAGAGGATGCTAAGAAAATCTTACATTTGTTTCTAACAGGCGATCGAGAAAAAGATTGCCATTGTGGGTATTCATGGGCAATGACAAAATATAGTAAGAAGATAAACCGAGACGCAATTTAATAAGGGGAAATAAATGGTGGGTGACAAAATGGTCAACAATTAGAATTCAAAGAGATTATTTTCAATCACTGTAATAAATGTTGAGTAGTATCATCATATGCACTATGTTTCGCAACATTCTCACCCTCTGATAGAAAATATATCTCCAGTACTATACGTGAAGTAGAACAATCATTTAATAATAGTGGTAGAGCATTCGACTGATGATCGAGAGGTCCCCGGTTCGAACCCCGGTGCGCCCTACACTTTGCCCTGGTATGGCCGAGAGTGGGGTGGGCTCGCCCTCCCTCTAGAAGTGCCCCCACACAGATACGCGTATACAGCCTCTGTCAGGGAAGTCCTACTCACTGCCTTCTCGTGGTGGGGATGTTGTTTACGAAAACGAGAAAATGAAAAGCGAATGTCCTGCGCTTTAACCGGATCCCAAACCAATGGTGCACATGGCTCCAATATCCTGCGGGAACAAGTAGCGTATGAACCAACTTTTGGTCACCAGCTACCATGGGACTGCAACTCCTCACGATGCTCTATTGCCTTGTGGGTTAAACCTTTAGGTCAAAGGCTCGGGGAGTGGCCCTCCAAGAAAACAACCTGCTTCGGCCTGGGCATCCGGGCAGTATCACAGCCCACACACAAATATGACGAACTGTCGATAAATATGGAAAATACTTTTCTTGCTTCGATTAACAATCAACAATTCACATTATTATTATTGTTATTATTATTTACTACGTCATTTATTCACTTTCTTTTATTCCCACTCTGTCTATCTTTACTTTTCGACTTATACAGCAGCTCGCCTATGGTGGAAACTCGGTTCTATCTAAACGTTCTCGAGTCACTGACTGGTTGGAAATTGTATGCTACCACCAAGTAGGAGTACTAAAGCAGTTCTTCTGAAACCACGTGCACCATTCAAACTGGCTGCCTTCAACGTTCGCACACTCATGCAGGTCAGACAACAGATAGGGCTGGCTATGTCTTTGGAAAGTCTTAACATCGATGTTTGCTGTCTATCCGAGACCCGTATTCAAGACTCTGGTGAAGTACTACAAATTCGCTCTCCATCTGTTGCTTCAAAAAGCTTGTTTTACGTGCATTCATAAGGTGAACCTGTGGCATCTTCGTCTCGTCTTGCTGGTGTTGGTGTCTCCTGAAACCACGCACTAAACTACATGTAGTTTTTAACGTCCGAACACTATGCCATATAAGACAACAGGCTTCCCTAGCTAGGAATTTAGAATCTCGCGCTATCGATGTGTGCTGCGTATACAGGATCGGAGTAGCATCATTCATTTGACCTCACCATGTCAATGTAACGAACCAACTCGATTTACGCATCGCGCATCTAAAAGCCCTGATGCTGCTTCCTGTGGCCTCGCTGGTATAGGTATCGCATTAGTCCTAGGTCGGAACTAGCGCTCTTAGACTGGATCCCAGTAGACAGTCGTTTGTGCGCAGTCCGACTAAACGGAACAGTAAGGAATCGGAAGGATAAGGACACTCGCCGTTACCTCTTCGTCGTCTCTGCCTACTCTCCCACTGACTGCAGCTCAGATGAAGTAAAAGATGAATTTTACAGAAAGCTTTCCAACCTCCTCCAGAAAGTTAGACGCTCTGATGTAATAATAGTGTCTGGTGACTCTAATGCTCAAGTAAGTAAAGTAAACGAGAGGAAAGACACCTGCGTGGATCTTATGGTGTCGTGGTTCAAAGAACAGATAATGGCGACCGTCTGTTGCAGCTATGCTCAAATAACCACCTCTTTATTCTAAATACTAACTTTAAGCATAAGGAAGAACATCTTTTAACATGGCGACCCCCTAATTCGTCCCAACGTTGGACCCGAATAGATCACATCGCTGTCAGCCACCGATGGAGGGGCTCGATGGAAGACTATCACTCATTCTGGAGCACATGCTTAGATTCAGATCATGCTCTAGTACGAGCACGCATTTGTCTGCGTCTTACTGGACGTAGGAAAGACGCTGCAAGGAAACCTCTTGGGGTCCTGTTTAATGATAGTCAAGCTAAGATTATATTTCAGGAACAACTAGGAAAACAGTTAGGCAGCCATGTATGTGATGCCCACCCCGAGGCAGCATGGAATGATATCCGAAAAGCTGTGGAAACAGCAGTGATATCTGCTAATACGGTAAACCATAAGGTTAGGGAGCAACACTGGATCTCAGCAGCATCCACCTGGCTCTGAACATAATGAGGAGTGGAGTCAGCTTAAGCGCAAGCTGAGAAGAAGCCTACGCAATGATCGCGAACAGTGGTGGGTAGCGAAAGCAAGAGAGATGGAAAAGGCAGCGGCAATAGGTAATAGCAGACAATTGTTCAGACTCGTTAAGGAAACCGGAATTAGGAACCTGACTGTTAGCGAAACAATCTCAGAGAAAGATGGACATATTATTCATTCTCAATCCAGGAGATTGGATCGATGGGCAGAACACTTTAGGGATCAGTTCAAATGGCCTTCAGCCACACTTCGGTTTCCCACGATCTCCAGTCAACCTGAATGGCAAGTTATTGTAGGTCCTCCGACTCTTTACGAAGTTGAAAAAGCCATAGGAAATCTGAAGCGAGGGAGAGCAGCAGGCCCTGACAGGTTTAATCCTGAGATTTTTAAGGATGGTGGTCCAGTATTAGCAATGAGATTGACTTAGGTCTTAGGTAGAATTTGTGAACTGGACGTAATCTTATCTGACTGCTCTCAATCACTGATTGTGCCAGTCTATAAGAAAGGACAAAAGTCCTCTTGTGACAATCACAGAGGAATCAGTTTGACAAATATAGTGTCTAAAATATTAGCTTCAATAATACTTCGACGCCTAATCAAAGCTCGTGAAGAGCAGACTAGAGAAAACCAGGCTGGTTTTCGACCTGGACGTGGTTGTATAGACCAGATATTCACACTACGTCAGATTCTAGAACACACACACACGTTCAGGCACCCCACAATCGTAGTACTTCTCGACCTTAAGGCAGCATTCGACTCTGTTGATCGTGAGGTTCTATGGCAATGTTTGTCACTGAAAGGAGTACCAAAGAAGTACATTAACCTTGTAAAGGCTCTCTACTCGAACACAACTGGTCGAGTGAGAGCTTATGGCGAACTGTCATCAGAATTGATTACCTCGAGTGGTGTTCGTCAGGGCTGCCCACTCACTCCATTCTTGTTTAACTTTGCCATTGACGTACTTTTAGAGAAAACACTTTCCTCATTTAAATTTCCAGGAGTTGAACTTCTACCAAGAGATTCACTTGTTGACTTAGAATATGCCGATGATAGTTCTATTTGATGAAGACGCTGACAAAATGCAGAGTCTTCTGACCACTCTAGGCAACAATGCAAGCATGTTCGGGATGCGATTCTCCCCCTCGAAATGCAAAATGTTGGTTCAGGATTGGGTTGCATCGTCACCCGGACTAATGATAGGGAATGAAGTAGTTGAGCGTGTCGATCGCTTCATTTATATTGGAAGTCTCATCAGCCCTTGTGGTCTGGTGTGTGACGAAATCTTAGCATGAATACAGAAAACTGGACTAGCTTTTGCCAACTTGCGTCTTTTTTCGGCGTAGGCGAGATATCCGTCTATCAAACAAAGGACGTGTTTACTGCGCAGCAGTTCGTACCGTCCTACTTTATGGCAGTGAAACATGGCCGGTAAGAGTAGAGGATATTTGTAAGTTACTAGTAATCGATCTTATGCGTCTTCGAAACATTGCTCGTATATCCTGGGACCATCGAGTAAGTAATGTAGTTGTTAGGAAACGTGTACTAGGTAAGGATGGCAAATCAATTGATGAAGCAATGAAACTTCATCAGTTGAGATGGCTGGGCCACGTGTTACGTATGCCCAACCACCGACGTGCGATGTTTTCTGGTATAGGAATAGGTTTGAAGAAAGCTAGGGGCGGCCAAACCAAAATGTGACACAAATCCATGAATTCACTGACGAGTGGACTGAGCCATGTTGGTAGGTGCAGATTACCTATTTGGGGTCCGCGAGACGATAGCAACCGATGGTTAGAGACCTTGAATGACATGGCTCAAAATCGTTTGCAAGGGTGCAGGTGCGTCTACTCTTTGTGTTCTCCCAAATTCTAATCTTCTGAATTCTCCTTGTCTCTTTTTTTCTCTTCCCAAGTTTATTTCAGTAGATTGTACTCCTTGATTAACATCTTCAAGCCCTAATGTTTCCGATTACTGTTTATACTCTTACTACCTCTACCACTACGGGATTTGAATCGACAATTGCATTTCTGTGTTAATGTGGTATGGCAACTCGAACTGATGTACGTTCGTACGAAGTTCTACGTCGTTACTGACTGACTGATTATGAAGTATTTCAAACATTCTGGCATTGTTGCTTAGTGCTACTAGAAGACTCTGCATTTTGTCAGCGTCTTCACCAAACAGGACTATGTCATCTGCGTATTCTAAGACGATAGGTGGACCTCATGGAAGCAGATCAATACCCGAGAATTCAGTCGACGAGAATGTTATTTCCATCAGTAGGTCTATGATGAAGTTAAACAAAAATGGAGGATGTAGACATCATTGACAAACACCACTTGAGGATGCAAAAACAGATGACAGTTCGCCATAAGCTCTGACTCGACTAGTAGTGTTCGAGTAAAGAGCCTTCACAAGGTTTATGTACTCCTGAGGTACACCTCTCAATGACAGGCACTGTCATAGGATCTCGCGGTCTACGGAATCAAATGCTGCTTTTAAGTCAAGAAAGACCACCACTGTCGGATGCCGATAAGTATGCTTCTGTTCTAGAACCTGACGAATGGTGAATATGAGGTCGATGAAGCCAACTTGATTTTCTCGTGTTTGCAGTTCACGAGTCTTAGTTAGGCGTCCGATCATTATCGAGGCTAGTATTTTAGATACTATATTAGTTGAACTAATCCCTCTATGGTTGTCACAGGATGATTTTAACCCTCTCTTATATATTGGGACGATAAGTGATTGTGACCAGTCAGATGGGATTACGTCCAACTCTCAGATTTTACCTAAAATATTAGTAACCTTAATCGCTAAAATTGGACCACCATCCTTAAAGACCTCTGGAGCCAATCCATATGGACCAGCTGCCCTTCCTCGTTTCAGATTAACTATAGCCTTTTGAACTTCTGCTAGAGTTGGAGGACCTACTTCAATGTTCCATTCACACTGTCTGGGAATGGTGGGTAGTTGTAGAGTAGCTGAAGGCCAACCGAATTGTTCTCTAAAATGTTCCGCCCATCGTTCTAAACGTCTGGATTGAGAGCAGATGAGGGTCGTCTTTTTCCGAAATAGCCTGACTTACACTTGACTTATTAATTCAAGTTTCTTTTATTAGTCTGTAGAGCTGTCTTGTGTTCCCTATAGTCGCCGCCTTTTCCATCTCTTTTGATTTCGTTGCCCACCACTGCTCACGGTCGTTCCTTAGACTTTTGCCTAACCTAGATCTGATTTGTTTTCGCTCTTCATCGTGTTCAGAGCCTGATGGGATGAGTTTACGAGAATCCATCAGTGCAATAGACCTTGACGAAATTCATTGGTTCTTTGTAACCCTGTGGTTTAAATCATTGATAGATTTCACTGCTGTTTGTATAGCTTCCCAAGCAACATCTGGGTCAACCTTGATTTCAGAACTACCTAAGTGTGACCTCAGTTGTTCCTGGAACCTACTTTCGGTTTTCTCGCTACTCAATTCAGTTCTAATGGGTCTTTTTAATGTGGCATTTTTGCGTCCAGTGAGGCGCAAGCAGATTCGTGCCCGTATTAGGGCATGGTTGGAGTCCAAGAAGGTACTCCAGAATGAGCGACAATTTTCTACCGACCCTCTCCAACGATGACTGACGGCAATATGGTCTATTTGAGTCCATCGTTGGTTTGGTGTAGGGGGTCACCGTGTTAGACGATGTCTCTCCTTACGCTTAAAATTGGTGTTTGCTAAAAATAAACGATTGTCTGAACACAGTTGCAGCAGACGATCACCATTATCTGTTCGCTGAGCCGGAATACTAAAATACCTACCTAAATGTCCTTCTGTTTGGTTTAAGCTACCTATCTGGGCATTAAAGTCACCTGCTACGAGTACTATGTCTGAACGTTTAGGTTTTTGAAGTTCAGAGAGCTTTCTGTAAAGTTCATCCGAGCTGCAGTCAGTGGGAGCGTAGGCAGAAACGACAAAAAGGCAATGACGTGTGTCCCTATCCTTCGGAGTTCTTACGGAGCCGTTTAGCTGAACAGCACATAAACGACTGTTAATGGGGATCCACTCCAACAGTGGTTGTTCTACCCTCATGCTTAGTGCTATGCCGTACTTATTGGGACTTTATCGCCGGAGACGGATATCCGTGGGTAAGGCGAGGTGTGCGTTTTTATGGTCGATCTTTTCTAACCCCACCCTTCTTTATGAGATGGCAGCATCACTGTTATGCTGGTTGTCTGCAGGAAGCACCTTATTGCCGCCCCACCCCCGTACAGTCAGTAGTAGGATTTCACTCTCGGATCCTGGGTTTATTGCTTTTAGTTTTAGCGCTGCTCAATCGGTCTGCCTGGCATAGTACGACCTTGAAGGCGATTGTTCCAGTCAGCATAATTTGATTGGTTCATCACGACAGGCAAGCCCAACCGCCACATCAATGTAGAAGCAACGGTCAGGTGATTGTTTATTTATGCGACATCTAAATACCGATGTTATTTAGATCTATATTTAAAACCATAATACAAGTGACTTTGTGTTAAGAATGGTATTTTCTAGTTTACGTCGTTCTCTTGAATTTAATTTGCTGAATGGAATGACCTGGACAAAAGACATAAGTAGGTTTCATGTTCATAGTTTAAATGGTATGGCATTATAGTAAAAATGAAATTTGAGAACAAGATGTGGATTTGTATTCCTTGAATAGAAAATTTATATGTAATAAATACTGAGTTCAAGTAGCATTACCTTCTAGTCGCATAATATTCTGAACCAAACAGTCAGCTATTTGTTTGCATGCTTTTTCAACTGGTTTGATTTTTTCAGTTTCTTCTTTCTTTAAAAGCTATAAATAATACAACATCGATGAATACATTATTCAAGAAGTTGAGTTAAATAAGTTGCATAATACATAATACACATCTCTTAGTATAAGTCAGACCTAAATTTAATGTCAATAATTTAGGATATCAGAATCAAGAAAATGAAAGATAAGTCACAAAACATCTCCCTGTTAATCTAAATATCCCCGGCTCATTCACAGCAAAAGTAACGATTATGTCATTAATACATATCATAAAATTTAGATATGAGTTATTCAAAAAATTACTTACAGTTCGTAAAAATTGTTCAAACCATTCATAACCTGTGTCTTTGCAAGCGCCAACGACATCTGTGATATTCATGACCTTTCGAAGTAGCTTCACTGTTTCTCTTTCACGTACAGGAGTAAACCACATTGCTTGAAAGACCTCATGAACAAGTTTCTAAGGGTATACAGAAACGCTGTTATCAGAATATTCACGAACTGCAATGTCAGTACTTCAAAAACCAGTAATAAACATTTAACAAAATTAACGTTTTCAAAATGGAGTATTTATTCTTAAGCCATGAAACTATATCCAACAGGACGTAATATAAAGCAAGATCTAGAGGATTATGCGAAAATTTTATTTGGTATTAAAATTATATGGATTTCAAATCGACATTAACAATGATACACTAGGTACGTATGAACAAAGAATGGTGTTATAAAATGATATCACCATAGCTTGATTGGGCTAGATGTTCTCTATAACTCGTTATCACATACTAATCAGAAGTGCCACAGTTACGGAAATGATAAATCAAAAATGTACAAAGATATCAAGTAACAGAATCGAAGTATATTAAGCTTCTAATTAAATAGAGAACCGAGGTCAATGGTGGAGGAACCAAATTTTATTACAACCAATGCAGATTGTAATGGACTGGTGATAAATCAAAGAAGGCTACTACACGAACAGTTACACAGGTATTGTATTCAAGCACATATGAGCACTCAGTCCAGAAAACTATACGTAAGAAAAGATCCACCAAGATTTAAACATTATATAGTATTTTAAAATCTAACAGGCAAAATAAGAAAAAAAACAATAAATCAATAGGATTGTAAATCACCTTGATTCCTTCTTCATCGTTAACACGTCTAATCATTTTTACACAAATTTCAGCAACTCTTGGAAAATCTGGCTGCTCAAGACAAATGTCACGAAGGATTCGAATGACGCGTTTGCGGACACTTACTCCCTTATCCCGTATTCGTTCGGCCAACATTGGATAATACTGTGCAGTCAACTCTGGTCTGCAACTTAAAAATCGACCAAGTAGATCTACAGCAGCTTCACGAACTGAAGTCGATGTATCAAGAAGACGAGAATGTACAGCCCGCTCAATATCTACGCGAGCTAAAACATTTGGGTCGGCCTCCACCACTGCTGATAAACATCTTAACGCTTTAGTGCGCACGGCAACCGACGATTCACTCAATAACTGAAAATCACAGAACACTGAAATTTATGCTGAGAATTACAAAGTACTCATTAATCTAAAAAGTGAAATATTATCCCTTCAGAGTAAAAAACTTGGTGTAACTTTGATGACTAAGTTAGATTAGGTTTCACAAAATAAGAGTGAAACTGTTCTCACCTTTAACAGGCAGACTAACAATACGACGACTCCAAAGATGGACCGAATTGAGATTATCCAATATGTTTCCACTATACATAGATTCATCTCATTTGTGAACTCATTAACAGAACTTATGCAATGACTCCGTAACACGGATTTGCTTACCATTTTCAACGGTTTTACGTGGTTATAGATACAGGAGTTTTAGTATCATCAGATATAACCAAATAAAAGCTTCTACATGAACTCATCCTTGATAGTGAATTCTAGTCTTCGATTTTTCTGAATTTTAGACTAATCAGAGAATTAATAATAAATATTTTTTGTGATATCCCAATCAGTAGAAAATTGTATTTCTGAAGTTTAGTGACTTAATCTAAGTAATTTCTTTAGAGCAAATAACCGAAATAAAATTAACACAAGTTTAAGAAACTTTTTATCCAATCCTCAAATCACTTGAAATTATCAAGTTCAATCTTGGTATTGGCACCTACAATCAGAGAATTATTTATCAAGGTTCACTTTTTTAATAAAGCGCATAGATTAATGGAAAAAGAAACTTAATCTTGTTCGAAACATTTAGAAATCCTATCATGTTTTATTAACGTCACTAACAAGTAGTACAAATAATCAGTTTAATGCTTATCATATATTTTAGAAATATCTATGAACTTTATGGAATATTACATAGCGAAATCCGATGTAAAACCCATTTAAAGTAGTAAAACGTACTTTACATATTTGGGACAAATAAACATCAAAACTTTGAGAAAATGGTCGAAGACTAGCGAGATAACGACAAACTAAGCAGCAGTCTTCATAGTCCAAAGTACCCTGGAAAATGAGCGTCGTTTCCTGACTTGAATCAGAAATACAGGTATTTGCAGACTGCTTTGTTTTCTCATTAGGTGGCAATGAATTGCTCCATAAACATCTACGTTGTCGCCAAGATTGTGGAGCTTCACGTACTTTTGACAGAATGTGTTGTCTTCTTCTTTCAGCTACCGCAAGGATTAGTGCCTGATCTGCTTCAGAAAAACCTTTGGAAGCACATACAGTTTCACCACTGCCATTTAAAACAGCATTCTGGTTTTTCTTCTGTACTGCACTTCGTTGAGCACGTTCTGTTTCCTTTGTACAATCATTAAGCCACTGAGCCAGGTAAAATTTACGAGCATACTGAAATATAAAATGAGTGATTAAGAAGTAAGTTGCGATTCAAATAAAAATTGTGGATTGTATATATATGAGTACGTACGCAATGTGATCAGTCTGACCGCAGCTGTCGGAATGAAATAGTAATCAGACTCAACTATTTTAATTACACAATGAAGTGTGCCGGCTGGGATGTTATTACTACTACAATAGACAGATTAGTTATGAACGATCCCCTCGTCTCTCACGAAAGTGTCAATCGCTAATTTGAGCTTACGAAATCAAATCTCCGGTCACTTAGAACCGTACTTTAAACTATACGTTAGACAATAGACCTTATTATTCAAAGCTGGATTGTTGAGAGAATCCTTCCAGCATTTGAGAGGTTTTTTGAAAACTTTCTTTGAATATATACTGAATCGTTGTTCTCAATGTTTTCTGTTCCACTTTACTTATCTACATTAAAGAAGTGTGGCAGGTGAATTAACAGTATTATGATATCCGAGTTAAAAGGAAGGTGAGTGTCTATGGTTTTGAATAGCTTGTTGAGAACATTAATTACGAATCAACTGGCGTCATTATTTCACAATCTGATATTCATTAATCCAGATAGAGTGGATTTCAAGTGTGATTTAAAACAACGATTGGAACTTCTGATTGCTTTGTCAATCTATGCCTTGAGATGACAATTTATCTTAGCGAAATTTGTCACATAAAACAAATTAGTGGCTATCGAAATCTCAACTTAATCATAGACATACAGGATCATGTGGAATGTAAGGTAAACTATGATGGGTAAATCATATAATATAAAAACGACTTACAACTGCCGTAGGACTCGCCTCTTCTGCTGCAAGATAGTCTAAAATAGCGTCACGTAGTGCCTGGACTCGATCCAACTGGGAAATAGGATCTGTATATTTGTCTTTATTTCCTGATTTTTTATTTTTGATGACTTTGTCTTTAGAAATTTTGGTGTCAATTACTTTGACTACAGACTTAGTGTTTGTCGAACTATAGCCATTCTCATTATGGCGTATTGGTGTTTCAGTAGTGGAAGCAGAACCAACTGAATGAATATCAGACTCTGATTTATTTCTATCTACTTCTGAGCTAGATTCACGATCGCCATTTATTTCTTTTATGTCATCAGTTTTTGTATCTAACTCTTCTTCAGAATCTTCTTCATCTTCATCTGATTGATTACCTTCCAAGAGATCACGGATGACAGCATCAATATCATGTTCCTTCAATTGGCTAGTTACTGCATCACGACGTAATGTGGATGCAACTGTTCCCAAGTAATCAACACTAGCAACCCGAACACTTTGATCAAGTGCTTTGTTATTGAACTGCTGTACTAACAAGCTACCAAGAAGACTAAGCATAACCTCTGATGCTGGCCACTCCGGTTTATTAACAGCTAAAAGAAGGTCATTTACGAAATTTTCAAAAATAATTCGGTAATCATCTTCACCCTTCATTGTTGATCTAGATTTATTGAGAAAAAAATAAAACTTTATAAAATGCATCAAACTGACAGTGAGCAGTAAATAATTACAGACACTTATATTAGATAAAACAAGATCTAAACCAGACGAAAAAACTAAGCATTACTTACTTGCGTAGGAAAACCAACAGAAAAGTATGGGCTGTACGAAGAGCATTATGATAAGAATTAATAATTGTCACTTCATCATCTGCTTTTTGAACTAATCCTCCATCAGTGGACACAGAGACATTTGAGCTCTGATAGAAAACAGTATTTTGTTCTGAGTTGAGAGGTGATGGGTCAGGAAGACTTATAACCGACTGAACCAACAAAAGTGCTAATGCTGTAAGCATTTGAATGCTATCTTCACTATTTAATCTACAAAAGGTTGAAATAATAAAAATTCCCAGCATTAACAAAATAAAGTATTTTTATGGAAGACCGTAAACTAAGTTAAAATGGACTTAATCGTAAGGCGTAACAGCTTATTAAGAACGGTACAGTGACACTTCGTCGATATTGTGATCCTGTGAGATAAACGTTATTGTTTAAACGGTCAAAATTAAGATAAAATGTCAAGTAGGAAAATGTTTTAATTTAAAAACCAGTTATCACTAAACACTAATTCATCAGAAAATATTTCTTTATTACGGTTTACTTAAACTATTGATTTGGTGAAAGATAACAGGTCAAAACAGTGCATCCAATATAGATTGTACATAATGAAAAGCATAATTAGGTCAATGTTTGTAGCCAGAAAAAAAACATGACAGTAAGGAAATACATGAATAGAAAATAATATGACGCTACTCTGTAAGCAGCTGACACATCCAATGTTTTTAATTGGACTACTTATCACTTCACTGTATTCTTTCCCTTACACTGCAATAGTTCATTAGAAGTTTGTCTACTTTTTATTATCTATTATTATTATTATTATTATTATTATTATTATTATTATTATTATTATTATTATTATTATTATTATTATTTGAACACATAGATATTGGTACAAGGAGGCAACAAATACATATGCGCCATACAAATCTCATTTGACTTGTGTGAGGGCTGTGATACTGCCCGGGTATTATTTGAGTGACCATTTTCCTTCTTGTTCGTAAAAGGTGTTAGATATTTATTGATGTATATATCAACTAGAATACCAGTTCATAATCGGAGCTGACCTTTATTATATAGAATCACTTACATACAATCAAATAACACGAGAATCAAAACTTTCCGATTTTATTTGAAGCTAGAAACAAGTATCATGGCTGTTTTACCAACTTATAGTTGATAAATAAATCGATGACTGAAAATTAGGTGTCTAACTAATCAGAAGTAAGAAGTTCCACAACAAAATTGAACAATATTGATTACTTATAGCAAGCAACTCGTTATCATGAATTCTTACATTGATGCAATAGTTTAAGCACACGGAAGTGAGGAACTCGTCTTTGTATTCAACTAATACAGGTACTGCTAGATGACCTCTTAATTAATAAAATCGAATTATGCCTTTGAAACATAAATTTCTAATAAGCTGTCTCATGGAATTTTAAGAATGTTGATCAGATATGTTTCACAATCCTAATTTTTGTTTCCGATACTCAATAGGATTGTAGAAATAACCTTGGTCGGATATACACCCATACAATTACAAAAGGTTGGTCTTCAGGCTTTTTTTACCTCATATTAATTCATAATTTATGATACCCACGTGAGTTACTTATTTCTGCCTCAGTTTGAATACTTTGACACAACTACAACCTCCATACAAACCAAAACATTACAGTCTGGATAATAAGAACAATCTGCTTTATAAGAACGACATAAACCCCTACTACCTTATAATTAACAACACTACTTTGCATGACGGATTCTCTATTGTCTGATTGTACCGAGTTTTCCGTGTGGTGTTATTAAGATAGCTCAAAAATGCAGCACCTTAAGGAGAAATGTCAAATGTTCAAATAGAGAAAAACCCACCGATAAGAACGTAAATTCTTCTTGCTTGATGGAAGACGGGATAAGCTAGCCAGTATTTCCTCCATTATTAGCTTCCTATGAGTTTCATATTGGGCGAATATAGCAGTGACGAGTTCCAAAGCAGCAAGTTGCAGCTCACTAACATTTTCAACAAAGAATACAGAGACACCAACACTAGATAAGGTAAGGACCAAGCTGTCTGTCAGCCTTTGGATTTTTACTAACTTAGATAAATTGGAAACAATTTCCACTAGCTTGTGGTACAGATGAATTATGGACTTTGGTTTTTGAGCATCGCGTTCACGAGCACGTCTAGATTTTATACTGCTTTGATTTTCTATTTTGTTTAAGAAAAACAGTAAAAAGCACTACAAAATACATTGTGTAAAACATGGTGCAAACTGTAAAATTGGGTATCCTATAAAATTATCACGATCGGTCGTACAGAAAGAATTAAGGTTAGCAATTACCTTTAAAGGTGGAAACAAATAATCTAATAACTGTCGTACCTTATTAGTTACTAAGTCACAAGTGACTGTAATGATGGCCTGACAGGACAGTTGTTGGTGTACGAAACCATGCTGTAGTAAAAACTAGTCAATTATTATAATGTAGGTGATAGAAACAGGATTTCGAAATGCCACCATATATGAAAGGGAATCGCGATCACCGTTGTTAGTAGTCAACAACCTACATTCGACATTCCACTTCCCCTTTTCGTCGGATTAACGCTCAGGCTGCGCTTCACTAGTATCTATAGAACTTGATCCTTTCTCAGAACAGCTGACCGTGGAACACTGAAAAACAGTCCGACTGACCTGTAGCTACTTCTACAGCCGCCCACTACTCAACAATAGTGTAAATAAAATACTAATATCAAACCTTTAACTCATAAAAAGTAGAGGAATTCTTGACGCACAAATTCAAATCTTTAAGAATGTTGACCAAGTATATCAGATTGGATGCACATAATCTTACCAGACTCGTTTTTATGGTGAATGGTCTTACAGAACCGCAAAATAACCAATCTGATTATTACACATGTAACATATTGGTTTCCATAACACTCGACGGTAAACTGGAGTTTGAGCACAGTGGGACCACAAAATCCAAGTGGTTGTAGACAAATACAACAAATGATTACCCTGACTACGACCACATTAATTAGTCTGAAGATTACATTTAGTTAATGTCGTTGACAAGTTTTATGGCAGTATGTCGCTGAAAATAGAATCACAGCGATACATCAAACTAACATAACCGTTTATTGAAGCATTACTGGATGGGTCTGAACCAGTGGGGAACTGTCATCAAAATTTGCTGTCTCAAGTGATATCCATGAAAGCTTTTCACTTCTCTTAATTTTATTTCAACTCATTTGTTTAGCGTCCAAAAAATATGGGAACAGTAAGAGCGAATAGGATGATTGTAAGTTAAAATTCGACATCCGATATACCAGTAAGCCTAAGCATAATTTGGGTTTAAAAAAGAAACTGAAAATTACTGTACATATAAGAGATTACACATATAAGCGAAAAGCAGAGATTCGTAAGTGTGATGTTATTTTAATGAATTACTTAGTCCGTTATCATAAAATGAATTTAGGCCAGTGTGTTTTATTGATCTCACTTTGTTCAGATGTAGATCTATCTGTAAAAATAAACATTGTAAATCCATGCTGTCGATGAATTCTTATTGTGAATGAAAATAATCAGAGAAAAAACTAGGACAGTAAACTAACGCATTTCATAAGAATAAAGCAAGTAACCAACAATAATAGTGAAGGACAAAGAAAGTAGTTGAGCATATTGACCACTTAACTTATCTTAAAAGTCTCATCAAGCTTGACAGGCTGGGGATTAAAAAGAGATATTCTAGGTTACTAGTATTTGACCATAGGTGTCTTCGAAGTGTGGCTCGTGAATTGTGAGATCATAAAACAAGGAATGCCGAAGTTAGGGAAAGGGTACTACTAAGTAAAGACGGCAAATTAATTTATGAAGCAGATTGTTATCAAGAGATGGTTACAGCATGTATTACGTATGCTTATCCACAAACTAATTTGACGCGCGATGATTGGTGTAGGAGTAAGTTAGAAGAAGGCTAAAGTCGACCAGAACTAAACCTGGCACCAGTCACTGGAGACGATGACAACTGGGCTGAGCCATCTAGTAGATGTCGACTGCTAGGTTCATGTGATTATCTTAGCCAACGGTGAGAAATTTTTAGTGAAATGTTTTAAAATCGTTAGCAATGTTGCATTCATTACTTGTCTTCCTCCAAAAACTGCGTACCGAAATCTCGTTATACACTTTTTTATATTTGACTTTTCTGTTGCTACCGATACTGTCACTACTTCCAATTCTCTGAGATTTGTCTTAACCTTATCACATTGAATTATTGTGGTGTAGCAAATTGAACCGGTGAACGTGTCAGGTTCTACGTCGCACAGAAAATACAGACCAATAACGCCACATATTATGAATCAAGCCCCATACGTTAGCGATGTGTTTATTTTCGATATTCTTCTACCATTACTCAAAAAGTAGACATTGTTTTGCGATGCTACATGGATTAAGACTCACCAAATAAAATGAAAAGAAACATAATTGATGAAAGAGAGATGATTCTAAATTTTAAAGGACGTCTATACCTTTAGCTGTATTTTCAACACGATAAGCAGGATCGAATTCCGGGAAAATGCAATTGAATAATTGAAACCTGACACTATACACTGTACGCTCTATAACATCTTCAACATAAACTTCTCTGGGCATATCCTTCGAAGTCATTAATAATAGCGCAGTTAGACCGGAATTCATACTCCGCATTACTCGCTCCATTGCCACCTCTTTCCATAGTTTGCTTTCGTGTGAGTCAGCTTCTTCTTCCTATAAATTTGTTTGGAGAATATTTTGGAATAATTCATCATAATAAAGAAAGGCAGAACGATGTAAAGAAAAAGTATCATGTATAGAATGATGGAAAAACCAAACCAAAAAACACCTGTTAAATATTCGCACTTGCATAATGTTTAAAAAGAACTCATAATAATGTCAGAATTATGTAGTTAAGCTGTGAATGAGATAGCGGAAAATTTGGCCTGGGAACTTGCTAATGAAAATGAAGCACCAGCCCCATTATAATTGCCATATGAAACAACAACATGAAAGACCAGTAAATCATACTAATCTTTTTAGCCAAACTTGTATCATATGTAAAACTTTCATTCTGATAGTCACAATCCCAGGACTTGAAAGTTTAAACATCATCGCTTTTCCAGCATGAAATACCTTGACTAACAGAACATGCAGAATCAAGGTATATATCCAACCCCTTTCCTAGTGAAACCATGGGTTGAATATTCATGTTCGGTGATACAATACTATTAAATTATTGTATTAGGATATCACGTAAAAAAAGGGTATATATCAAACCATAAGATTCTCATGAGGTCAACACTTCTGAGCTTTAAGAAAGAATCTACTACTTACAGGTCTCAATACGGCAATCACATTCGCACCATCTCGTATGTTGAGCAACAACAATGTAAGGAAGTTAAGTAATTGACCAGTAGGAATTTGATTAGCAACACCTATTGAGTTTAACTTAGCAGCATCACGACAAAATTCTGCCAAGTCTTCAGCCGATATTATAGTCTCAGTTGATAAGCTCTCTTTATCAAGATAAGAAATCACATCGTCACAATTAGATTTTCGAAGTTGATCATCACTGTTCGGTACGCTACCAAGGCTTCTCAAAAAGTCTGTTTCCTCAATAGATTCTAGAACAGTTGACAATTTGTTGAGAAATCGTTTTACACTTCCTGTTTCACCCCCGACACTTTGCTCCCTAGAATTATTTCGTTGGATGGGTAAATTATTTGATGCCGTAATTCCGAAATTTACGCGCTCACGTCGTTTACGTGTGGACTCTCCTGCTTTACGTATATGCGGGAAACGTGCTTCAACGGGTTCCTTCAGCCGAACTATAATTGTAAATAAAAAACCAAACTGAAAGTCAACACGAAAAAAAAGATATTTAAGTTGCTTTATAAAGTGATAAGTCCATGTAAGTAAAGCAATAACATAATGTAGACTTTATCACTAAAAATATTAGCCAAGAGACAAAGTGAAGAACCCAGTAATTTTAAGCGAAAACACTTAAAGTATTCAACTTAATTTCGTAACACCAAGTCAGCAAGGCTAAAAACGTAACGGAATTCAGGTTTCCCGAAATTCATTACAACTTCAGGACAGTATGTCAACAATAATAAAATTGAAAACAGACGAACTGGAAACGTAGTGAAACATTTAGTCACACTCGATAGATAGAAATGCAAGTAACAATGCACAACTATGAATTTACCTTCAAAAGGTTCATCATCATCCAGTCTCTTTCGTCTTCTAGCACTTGAAGAGCCATTTGAGCATCCTGTTTGACTTGCCGACGCTTCCTCGTCTTCCTCGTCCATACCAGCATACGAACGATTTGCAACCCCTGAACGCATTTCGCGTACATTGTAGGCAGTTTCGCTGGTTCCGGTGGAATCGTTTGTAAGGTCAATTGTACCGTTAGGTTCATTGCTACCACGATCACTATCTCCCTCACTTAAAAACAGGAGAAACGAAAAAATAGTTTTTGAATATAGTTACAGTTAACTTGGAACGTAACCATTAAGTTCACATACAGTGGGTTTGAAAAAGATGAACGGCAATTCAGTATCCAGACGTGTTTAACTACGATTCCTCTTAATTGAAGGGTAGGTGAATAAAAAATGCTTATGGTTTCGACTTTTTACCTTTTTGGCTATTAAGGTCAGTATGGCGAGCAACAGTAACGCACACTTATCCCCAGTGTACATTTACCGTTGACATATCAAACAAACCGTAACAAATGACTTTTCGCCAAGAGTAAGGACTATGTACGGGATTCCTTTAATGGGTGAACTATCAAAAACAGTAGTAAAATGGAACAAGGCCTTTATTACGAATAATTTTTAGTAAAACTATTTTAACATCTGGAGTATATTTTAAATGATCACGATTCAAATGGATAACAAATTTTTTCTCTAAACCTCCCTACTATACAATCAACAAAACAGATGATACCAACTGTAGATAATATGGTCACGCAATATTCAGATTACTGAGACGCAACAATACTTCGTGATAATGACTACTACGTTTTATTTAGAACATCCTGTTAACATGATTTGATGAACACTATTTACTATTAATCTCTTATTTGGGTGTTAAATGATACCAAAATACAACTATTGCCGGAACAATATAACTGAAAGATTATTATTAAAGTACGACAGACTTTTACGAAACACACTTACTTTGGATAGTCTTTATCATGCTCAAAGACAAAATCTGAATCTAAATTCCCTCCCTGTCTAACCATTCGTTTTCGTCTTTTAACACGTTCACCAAGAACTTGACTATAAGAACCGATTGCATCATCCCAAGTTCTTTCATCAGGACCTTTGTTGCGTTCAGAGGCAGATTTTGATAAGCCCGGTCCACTAACCGGATAATTGACTGTCCAAGACTGTAAATCTTCAAGTTCATTTTTCCGGCGTTTACCTATTTCAAAGAAAATAAACTGATTAAATAAAAAATAAAGACCTACAGAACGAATAATGGATAGTTTGTTTAAAAACAATAACAGAAATAGAAGTCACGTACCTCGTGACATTGAATCAAAAGACAAGTCGTGAAACGTTTGTCAATTTTACTTTGTCAAAAAACTCTAATATGGACATATAAAGCCTGAAGGATAACTTACGTCTTCTTAACACGGAATTGCTCTTTCGTTTCCACCACGGTTGAGGAGTACTTGTAATTGTTGATAACAAATTCGAATCAGCACGAGCAGGTTGATTCTGGGTACGATAGTCATTGAGAATTTGAGTGTTAGTAACTTGATTAGGAGCAGACAAATAACTAGCGAGCCCCATGGGGACATGGTGAGTACTGGAATCTGGAGGCAAGCCAGACATGTCGAAATTGGCAGCAAATGCAGCAGGACTAACGTCTGTAACAGATGCATAACCAGAAGAATTGAGTATACCGCCCAAAACATCAAACGTGGAGTCTGCAGCAGTAACAACAGATGAATGACTAGAATCAATCAAATGCGAAGGAACCAAAAAGGAAGAAGTAGTGGTAGTAGATGGCTGTACAGGAAAGCCAGTCCTTTGGACAGTGGAGCTATCACAAGTAGCTAGAGAAGCAGTTCCAAGTGGAAAATTAATACAAGAGGAATTGGATGAAAGCATTTCGTTTTGAAGGAAGCTAGAAGCAAAGTCCATCATGTTGCATACAGAACCCAAGGTATTAGGGTTGGCTGTACAAACAGATGAATTAGATGTTACAAAATCACTAGGTAAACCGTCTGCAACATGTTTCAGGGTCATAGTAGGATCATTACTACGCAACAACTCATAGAACATATTCGATTTAGTTGTGAACACATTTGTTTGGTTAGTATCAAAACTATACGTACATGTAGGAGCACAATTACTTGAGGTTATTACCATTCCGTTACCAGACATAGAAGTTGGAGTACTGGGAAGACTGGATGTAGATACAGACTGGGGTTGTTGATACAAATTATTCATTGAATTCAAATTTTCAAATAAACCCTCGCTCGCTATGAGCGAAAGGTCAAGTTGGGAAGGATCTTTCATGGACAACTGACAACTCTCAGCAAAAGTCGAAGGGATAAGTTCGGAGCTTTTACAGTTTTCGTTAGGCGTTACCGTACTCAAGGGGCTATTTGAAGTAGGAGTATTATGTGTTTGTACTGGTAGATCAATAGATAACTCATTATGTTGAACGTGAATTTCCGCTGGAGAAGAGTGAGAATCCAACTTTGATCGAACTTCGTGATGAGATCGATGCTCACGATCCTTTTCTCTATTCCGCTTCTTTTTTTTCTCTTTTTTAACTGGCTCAACACTACCTAGTTGCTCAACCATAAAAACAGGCTGAGAGCCATCGTTCGCAGGCCGTTTGAAAATTTTTAATGATAGTTTTTTAGTATCTGCATTGACTTTTACAATACCATATGTTGAAGTGGGAGACAATGAATTATCCTCAAGTTTATTTGGAGTTGTACCACCACAGGCTGCTGGAGTAGTGGCATTTGATTCGCCTCCTGTTCCACTCGTATCGCCATCATCACAGTACTTGTGTTTCTTCTTTTTCCGCTTTTTCTTCTTTTTACTGGGAGATTCGATTGGTTCTTCAAATGCTGAAAACAAAAATATTTTAATATAGCTCATAGGATAGGATGCTGTATGCAGTCATATGATTGTGCAATATATTTTAGCCGTAGTGAATTAACTGAAAAACTTTGTAACAAACTACGTAGATAATTTAATTAAACCAAAAGAAATGTCATGAAGTCACTGACATAGTTTGTATAGATACGGTCAACAGAAGTGATCTTATCTATATGCCCTCAAGATCCAATAAAGCTCGGTCGCTACCATAGAAATCTAAAGCTTTGAACCTAAACGGAGAAAACGAGTATAAATCATGAGGGTTTTGTTGGTTACTTTTGTACAAAGGCATGTTAATGTATCAAACTAGATTATAAATTCCAAGGTCATAAGAACATGTTCTCAGAAGCGTATAATATCTGGGGATTCAAAAAAAATAAACCCTAAAATCAACCGGTAAATTTTAGTCAGTCAGCTACAACGTAGAACCAGGCACATATATACATCGGTTTAAGTTGCTATACCTCACTAACACAACAAGATGGACCCCGGATTCAGAAAAGTAGTCAATTCAGAAGTGGTAGTATATAAAAGAAAGATTGCAATAGGGATATAGTACAGGAAGAAAGAATTAGCACGTAGAAAGAAGGATATGAAGCGATTTTAATCTCACGGTTTAAAGGAAGACAGAGAGTGTATACACCGACGCCATTGTGATCGATTCTGAGCCATGTCACCAAGAGTCTCCAACCATTGGTCACGATAGTCACACGGACCCCAACCAAGTAGTCTGCATCTACCAACATGGCTCAGACTAGAAGTTAGTGACTTCAAGCACTAATGCCACGTTTTGGTTTTGCCGCCCTTAACTTTCTTCCAACCATTTCCAATACCGGATAGCATTGCACGTCGTGGTAATCGGTGTTCAGGCATACGTAACACGTGGCCCAACCATCTCAGTCGATGAAGATTCATAACCTCATCAACTGATTTACCATCATTTCCTAATACCCTGCGTCTAACCTCACTATTACTTACCCACTGATCTCAGCAGATGCGAGCAATATTTCTGAAGCATAGGTGACGTAAGTTGACAAAAGCTAAGCGAGCTTTTCGAATCCGTGCTGAGATTTCGTCCGATACCAGCCCATTGGAGTTAATCAGACGTCCAAGATAAGTGAAGTTGTCAACGCGTTCGACTACTTCACTCCCTATCCTTAGTTCAGGTGTCCTGAAGCAACAACTTGCATTTAGAGGGAGAGAAGCGCATCCCAAACATTCTGGCATTGTTGCTTAGTGCTACCAGAAGACTCTGCATTTTGTCAGCGTCTTCACCAAACAGGACTATGTCATCTGCGTATTCTAAGACGATAGGTGGACCTCATGGAAGCAGATCAATACCCGAGAATTCAGTCGACGAGAATGTTATTTCCATCAGTAGGTCTATGATGAAGTTAAACAAAAATGGAGGATGTAGACATCATTGACAAACACCACTTGAGGATGCAAAAACAGATGACAGTTCGCCATAAGCTCTGACTCGACTAGTAGTGTTCGAGTAAAGAGCCTTCATAAGGTTTATGTACTCCTGAGGTACACCTCTCAATGACAGGCACTGTCATAGGATCTCGCGGTCTACGGAATCAAATGCTGCTTTTAAGTCAAGAAAGACCACCACTGTCGGATGCCGATAAGTATGCTTCTGTTCTAGAACCTGACGAATGGTGAATATGAGGTCGATGAAGCCAACTTGATTTTCTCGTGTTTGCAGTTCACGAGTCTTAGTTAGGCGTCCGATCATTATCGAGGCTAGTATTTTAGATACTATATTAGTTGAACTAATCCCTCTATGGTTGTCACAGGATGATTTTAACCCTCTCTTATATATTGGGACGATAAGTGATTGTGACCAGTCAGATGGGATTACGTCCAACTCTCAGATTTTACCTAAAATATTAGTAACCTTAATCGCTAAAATTGGACCACCATCCTTAAAGACCTCTGGAGCCAATCCATATGGACCAGCTGCCCTTCCTCGTTTCAGATTAACTATAGCCTTTTGAACTTCTGCTAGAGTTGGAGGACCTACTTCAATGTTCCATTCACACTGTCTGGGAATGGTGGGTAGTTGTAGAGTAGCTGAAGGCCAACCGAATTGTTCTCTAAAATGTTCCGCCCATCGTTCTAAACGTCTGGATTGAGAGCAGATGAGGGTCGTCTTTTTCCGAAATAGCCTGACTTACACTTGACTTATTAATTCAAGTTTCTTTTATTAGTCTGTAGAGCTGTCTTGTGTTCCCTATAGTCGCCGCCTTTTCCATCTCTTTTGATTTCGTTGCCCACCACTGCTCACGGTCGTTCCTTAGACTTTTGCCTAACCTAGATCTGATTTGTTTTCGCTCTTCATCGTGTTCAGAGCCTGATGGGATGAGTTTACGAGAATCTATCAGTGCAATAGACCTTGACGAAATTCATTGGTTCTTTGTAACCCTGTGGTTTAAATCATTGATAGATTTCACTGCTGTTTGTATAGCTTCCCAAGCAACATCTGGGTCAGCCTCGTCTTCACAACTACCTAAGTGTGACCTCAGTTGTTCCTGGAACCTACTTTTGGTTTTCTCGTCACTTAACTCAGTTCTAACGGGTCTTTTTAATGTGGCTTTTTTGCGTCCAGTGAGGCGCAAGCAGATTCGTGCCCGTATTAGGGCATGGTTGGAGTCCAAGAAGGTACTCCAGAATGAGCGACAATCTTCTACCGACCCTCTCCAACGATGACTGACGGCAATATGGTCTATTTGAGTCCATCGTTGGTTTGGTGTAGGGGGTCACCGTGTTAGACGATGTCTCTCCTTACGCTTAAAATTGGTGTTTGCTAAAAATAAACGATTGTCTGAACACAGTTGCAGCAGACGATCACCATTATCTGTTCGCTGAGCCGGAATACTAAAATACCTACCTAAATGTCCTTCTGTTTGGTTTAAGCTACCTATCTGGGCATTAAAGTCACCTGCTACGAGTACTATGTCTGAACGTTTAGGTTTCTGAAGTTCAGAGAGCTTTCTGTAAAGTTCATCCGAGCTGCAGTCAGTGGGAGCGTAGGCAGAAACGACAAAAAGGCAATGACGTGTGTCCCTATCCTTCGGAGTTCTTACGGAGCCGTTTAGCTGAACAGCACATAAACGACTGTTAATGGGGATCCACTCTAACAGTGGTTGTTTTACCCTCATGCTTAGTGCTATGCCTACTCATGCCAGTCCACGAGAGCTGGCCGTCGGGTCACCAGAGACACGGAGGGTGTATCTCGTTAGCTCTCCGTTTTGCCGAGGTGAGGTCAAGTGAATGATCACACTGGGATCCTGTATGCGTGTTTCAGAGACACAGCATACATCAATGGTTCGAGATTCTAGGGTTCTATTCAGGGAAGCCTGTTGACCGATTTGACATAGGATGCGTACGCTGAAGGCTCCAATGTGTAGTTTGGAGCAAATTTCAGTAAACCTCTGTACAGTCAACATTACGACTTCGCCTTCGGACCTTAGGTTTGTTGCTTTTAGTTTTACCGCTCTTCAACCGACCTGTCTTACATGGTAGGACCTTGAGGAACGGTTGTTCCAGCCAGTATAGCTCGGTTGCTTCGTTATGATAGGCAAGCCGGACCACCACGTCAAGGTAGCAACAACAGTAAATTTTAACAGATATTACGTTATACTATGATAATAAATATTTCGAATATACGTTGAAGATATCTTCAGTCAAAGGTTTGGGGAATACCCTCCAGGAAAACCACTTTTTTAGTCTGGTCACCTGGAAAACAGCCCAGCCCACATACGCACAAATATGATAATTACTGTTGGAAATTTTGATTTACTTTGTTATTTATGCAACCGATATTCAAAATCTTGTTACACCCATTTTCTATCTACATTGTGTCACTTATCTATTTATTTTCGTTCTCATTTCGTGTGCTCTTTTAATTTTTAATTCACCCAGCAACACGACTATAACAGAAGTTTTTGTCAGTCTAGACGATTTCAAGTCGCTTACTGATTGAGACTTTGAATGCCTCCACCGAATACGATCCTTGATACAACTTTAATGATTACTTGTCCTATTCAAACTGGCTTTCTTTAACGTTCGCACACTGATAAAGATCAGACAATAGATAGGTTAGGTTATATCTTTGAGAATTCTTGATACCAACGTCCACAGTGAATCAAAAACCTGCATTCAAGGTCCCATTTAAGTGCAACAAATTGTTCCTTTATCTATAGATTAGAAATACTTGTTTCATGTAGGTTAACCCGTGGACCTTGGAGCATCTTTGGTTTTGGCTGCTGTTGATGTTTCACTAAGCCCCAAACTAGAAGCAGCACCAACCGGTTAGATTTTAATTAATTCACATAATACAAGACCATTAGCCAGTTGAGTGGATTTTCATGTAATAAAATAACATGCCTATATCCAGAATACGAACAAAAGATAGACGTAAAAAATATTACAGGGGAATAAATGAAATTAGCTTGTAGGTCACTCATTCTCCAATCAACTAAAACCTGACTGCTAGGCCTAATCTTAAGACATTATGTCAGCGCTATTGGATTAGAAAGCTCCACTAAGGTTGGGAGGAACTTGCGTGGGTAAAATCTTTTTATTGTTTTTGATTACGCTTTAAAAGACTTCAGCCCAGATAAAATCAAGGATGAGTTCTACCATCAACCAAATTATCCTAAGAAGGCATGTTCGATAGATGTTGCGGTGATAACCGGAGATTCGAATGCGCAACTCAAGTGTCTAGACATAAAAATTTTCTTGGGTAGCTAATGGAACATCGTTGATCGTAGATCAGATAACGGTGAATTTTCCCTGTAACTTTGTGCAGATAACAACCTGTTTCTGGTCAGAATTATTTTCCAGCACAGTCATCGTAGATGTGATACCTGGCGTCCCCCCTCCGTAGCTGAAGCTCGGACTTAGACTGATCACATCGCGATCAGATACTCTGGCACGGTTGTATACACGATAGCTCCTTCTTTTGGAATGCATGTCAATACCTATTCGATCATAGTTTAGTCTGTGTCAAGCTTATTTTGAGTTTTGATAAGCAGAAAACGTCTGGTCCTAAATGGATTGGTGTAAGCAAATCGGCTGTAGCTTCCATTCCAACTAAATATCAAACAGAAATAGGTTTAAAGTTAGTAGTCAGTCCGCTGAAAAGTTCAGATGAGCATAAGATGAATTTGCTTGAGGGGTTACGTCTCTTGCGGTTTGCAAAATGTCCCGCTTTTGAGCACTGGAATGCCGCAGGCTCCTTACGACCACTAGGAACACCTAGGTCTACCCCGGCAAATCGCAAGTTTGATGGTAAGAAGCACATGCTTACGTAAGAACCAAGAAACCTGATGGTCAGTGTGCTATCGAGTTGGAAACAGGTACTACACCTGGGAGCAGTCGGAAATTATTCAACTCATCTGAGACACAGAAAGAAGCGTGGTCTAAGTGAGATAACTTATGTAGATGGGATACCAGTTAGTAAAACCTGGACGATGGAGAATTCTCCGAAGAGCAGTTTAGCCGACTTGTTGTCCCAGTGACATCAATAAGACTGTCGTGCTCTCACTAGCCGGTGACGAATGGTGTACCTAACGATGGAGAGGTCCTTAAGAAACTACAACTCCTGATGAGCTACAAGTCATCAAAACTAAACGATATACGTCCGGCTTTTTATAGGGATATTGGCGAACTTCGAGAAAGGGAACTACCTGACCTCTATCAGTTGAAAATTTTAAACAACTCTATATGTTTAATTATCGCTGCTCCTCAAAGATTACTAATATCCAGTAGTAACACCATGTTAGTAATGCTGAGATTCAGCAGTGTGCTCGGGTGCAGTGACGATAACTCAATTGGTTTCCCTAAAATGAAACATAGATTTCAGTGGCTTGATCACATCTTACAAATTTCATCTCAGCAGCCTCCACAACGTACATCATTTGCCGATACTGGAAGTGGTTGAAAAAAGTGGTGGTTGGTTTATGACTTCCCACTATGATAATGATAAAGTAGTATAGGACCACAAATTCCTGATTGCAGTTTGAATGGTCGTGCAATTCAATGAATTGAAGCGTTATCAGATGTGGTTCAGAACAGAAACCAATGCATATCCTGCCATATTTTTCGCTTACATTTCCCATAAATGAAACTTCTGAATTTTAAATTGTCTCGTTTGCATTGTTAATGGAACTGTCTTTCCTATCATAAAATTTACTTTTTTTCTTTTCAAATGTGCCTCCTTTTCCTCACAGTATTGCCTATACATTTTGTGACGCACCCTATTTTTGATCCCTTATTGTACAAGATTTTATATGCTGAAATAAATAAATAATGAAACTATAATACAAACAATGCGGATCAATAAACAGATGATTCGTGAGGGTTAAGGTTAATAACGTTATCTGTATAGACTAAACCAAAATTTGACGGCTGAATACCTGATTTACTGTTACAGTTGAACCGGCCTTCGTGAGATTTAATAACTTAACGACAGGAGGTACCTGACGACTTAATAGCGCGTACAAAAAATGAGTGGTGTCCTTCGATCTTTCGGAAAACTGCACCCAACTACAAAAATACACAAAATACAAGTTATTGTGTTTGGGAGGGGTTCAAGTCTTGGTGTTAACCTGTATCCTAAGTCATTCTTTCTGATCTATATCAACCTTCATCGCGAACATCGCATAATCCCAAAATGATCAGTCAAAGAGAACATTAGTGCTAAAAGCTAACACAAAAGCCCAAATGCGATTATCCAATAAATGTAGAGGCAATTTTTATACAACAAACGGCACTAAGTTTTCATTCTATTAACGAACATTTAGCATTATACAATGTTAGATGAATAAACTAAGTATCACAAAAATTTACTCTGACGTCATCCAAAAATGGTAGACCATAAAACTAGAGACGAAATCCGGAAAATATTTAGCATAACTAGAGGTTTTGAAATTTATGTTAGATACTACCTATGGATAATCAAGGAATCTGTGAAATTGGAATAGTCTGTGATGTTAATTCCCAGACTACACAAAGACCGGCTACAAAGAACAAAAACTTGTGATCTTTAAATGTATGGCATTTTCCCCATATTTCCATACTCGCACTTTATACTTTTCTCCTATATCAGAAGGTTATGGTTTAAAACTAATTTAAAAAATGATAAAGTAAATTAAAACAAAAATCTGTGAAGGTGACATATAGCTCGTTTTTAAAACTACAGTGATTTTGACCAAACATTTGCTGTCCACAAGGAAGATTACATAACACAAGTCATAACGAGGCGGTATGAGTAAAATGACTTAAAAGTTATCGTAAACTCACAATTTGGATAATGAAGTTCAGAAGATAGTGGTTGATCCAGAGATGAACACCATGAACCAGGTTGTACTTTATACGCACTAGAAACACTATTAACTGGATTGAAAGATTCATAAGAAAGACCATAAAATCCTCGTTTTTGTTCGAAATTTGGTAGCTTTTTCAAAGAGCTGACAAGGGGTTCAGGTAGTAAATGGGGATCAATTATGTCACTAGCAAACCCCTCCTTGAAATCGCTAAAGGTATATACAAATTATTGAGAAAACGCTTACATGTTATTGGTACATACACTCCCAAGGGCTTCACTGAGGCAGCCCACGAGTCGGTCATGACCAAAACGAAGACACTGAAAGGCATCTATTGATATTCTAGAATCATGCAACAACGTTTCCACACTGGATCCAGCATGTAGTGGAGCAGGTAACGGGAGTTCAGGAATTATATCTGTTAGACTAACTACGGCACTCAGAGACTGAATGGGGATGCGAGAAATATCGCCGTTCATCCCACTGTACCCTGGAGCAAAATCAGGAGAACAGGAAATTAAATAAGTGAAATTATTGGAATATGATGCACTCACCAGTAATTTTTAATAAATTAGTATACACATACTTCCTCCTAAAAAATGTATTCTAAGGGGCATAAGTGAAAGAATGATGTCAATCACAACAGAGATTATAATCACTGATACAATTCAATCGAAACCAAGAACCAAGGAATTAGGGTCTTAGGAAACTATCAAGAGCTTGATACACACTATTACAAGGGTAGTATCACGTTGAGAACATTCAAACTCCAATAACCTTGTAAAGGTACTATTTTATTTTCCTGAGGTATTTTATCATCCTGTTTCTAAAGGTGGGAATATATCTAAAAATTAATGTTAGACGTCAGAAGTACAGGTCAGCCAGTCAATTATGCACACCCTACACTCTATTAGTATAGCGAGATGAAACTGTTAGGGCAACTCCCAGAGTACTTCAAATAACAACGGCATTAGTGATGGTAGAAAGAATTAGGCATCGAAGATAAAATTAGAGAAGGAAATTTGGATTAGCGGAATAACAGAAATTCACAAAATAATTAGGGTCTAAGAAAAGACAACAACATCCGTGTTGCGAGAAGGCAGTGAGTAGGATTTCCCTGGCAGAGGCTGTATGCGCGTGGCCGTGTGAGAGCATTTCGAGAGGGCGAGCCCACCTCACTCTCGACCATGCCAGGGCATCTGGGGGCTTTTTTCAACAATAACGGGGCAGATTTGCATGCATATAGCATACAATTCTCTTTGAACCTAGCACACAACAATAGCATCATGCACTGTCCCATAGCCCTTGGTAGATCAGGCAACCCGAAAGTTACGAGAACACCATCAGGGCATACGACAGGCTAGGTACATAAAGTAAGATAGAGCGAACTGCTGAGCAGCGTACTCGTCCATTAGTTCGCAGGCGAATACCTCGCCTACGCCATATGACGGTAATTTAAAAGAATAGATAGGACCAGAAACCAAAGTCGATAGTGGCTATATAACGCGGGTCGTTTTATTCTCTTAAGTTAACGTTATAGGAAAATTCTCCTGTTTTCATTAATTTTGTTTCTTCAATGTTTTACAATCCTTATATTCTTTTCAGCTGTTACACCTTCCTCATATCATTTCATTAGAGCTGTATGAATTTATGTCATGTATGCCCAGATGAGAAATGTTTCAAGACTGGTCCATGTTATTGCTGTTTCAAGAAAGAAAATAGCTGGGTCTGTCGATTAGATTCTTTGGGAGGCATATTAACCCTATCAGGCTGATGGCAGACAAACATGAACTACTTTGCTTAGCTCAAATTAAAAAATATGGCTAGGACAGTGTAGCCAAACACTTATTAAACGGTGAGTATCCTGCTCAACAAGTAGTTATTACCTACGATTGTGACACTACTGAAAGTAAAAGGCATGAGGATGCTAACAAGAAACTGAAGCATACACTTCAATTGAGTGAGCCACTGACCAAACAATCCTAATGTTCAGCAGATAGTATAAAGTGAACCTTAGTTGACTGATTTTACTGATACATGTTATAAATAGAGATCATATAGCTCGAAACCAGTCAAAATGGTTCAAATACATCAACTTTTCCTGCTTACATACGTCACTGTATCATTTTACTTTGTATACGTGTCTCCAACTCCTTAAGTATCTCAAGTAGTAATCCATTGCTTTTTCTTCTGCTGATCTCTGTCAAAGGAACAGTGATACTATTTGGGTCATAAACTGAAAGATGTACATTGATATGGTGCGAGTTTTTTGTCTATGACTGTGAGACTTGGTTATCCTGAGCCGAAATTTTTAGGTATTTAAACGATCAAACACACGAATGTGGCTGTTTAGGTAATAAACATGCTTAGAAAGTCGAAGATAATGATCCGAAGCATGACCATTTCAAAATACTAATCTCACTGGCTTCATCACATCAATTTTTGTTCTAACGCCTGCAACGCTCACTGTTTTAGAATTATGATACTGGATGCCGACAAATCCAAAAGTGGCTAGTTCATCACAATATTTTGAACAGACATGATGAACACTACAAGTTTTACGGCCAATACAACTCAACCGGATCATTACGACATCTGAATCCGATCACCACTACGAGATAACTACGACCAGGATAATGTTTTATGAGGAATCTATTATATATGCCGCTATTGATCCTCCACATTTTGGGAGGAATTAAGGTCGTACATAGAAATCACTCGCGATGATACTCTAGTTCTTACTGCATTCCTCACGAAGTGAAGTAGTTCTTAGTGAAGAGCATGGTTGTGTTATAAAGCTAACCAAGTCCTAGAATAACTTAGTCACTTTCGGTAAATTCTCTTACTTCTTGATGTTATCATTTACAAAGACGTTATTGATTTTTATAATTTTTTTCTGCGGACGTGCTTCGGGATACAAGCATTTCTCCCTTTGATTTCTTATAGACTGAAGTTTCATCTGAATTTGACTTGGTGATTAAAACACTCCACTCCCCAAACTTCGATCTAGGCACTTAGGTAGTAACACCAACCCCTACCTGAAGGGACTCCATATTTAGAAACAGAACTAGATTATTCATTATATGTGAAAATTATATTTGAAATATTCTCAGCGAATGAAATCTAACTAATTCCAACTAGATTATTATTACCAAGTCGCACAGCTATTACGACTTCCCAGAAAGCAGTAGGAAACCATAAGGGACTAACAAAACCAATATTCTTCACTCCACAACGCGATATCTTTTCATCCCAATTCACGACTGGGGGACAATGAGCCTTACAGAAGCTCCAAGAACAAATATTGTGACGTGGTTAGACCAATCTAGCTACTGCCAAAAAATACTAACTGAGACAGCCTCTAACCTGTTTTGATGCAAGCACTCAGGTATTACCAATACTTATACTGCGTCCTACTTGCAATCCCAACAGTTTGCTGAAACAAGTACAACTATAACTACTATAAGTAGAATGGGGTCTGAGCCCCTTACTCAGTGGTTACAAACCGGACACATACAAAAGACGGTATACACGTAGTCCCACCAAGGGTTTCAAAGTTCGCGAAAACCATTGCATTCAGTATGATAGGCTATTTTGATTGAAAACATGAACATCAGTTTTGAAAACGTTTGTAATAGTTTTCGATTTACTAGTACTAGTTAAAAACCCAGTTCAAAAGAACGCATCTTTTACTAACTTGCAGTTAGTGTTAGGGCCGCCATCAACAATGGAAGTTTGTATTATATCGGGTAGACCGCGAGATTCTGTGGCACTGTGTGTCATTGAAAGGCGTACCCCAGAAGTACATAAACCTTGTAAAGGCTCTTTACTCGAACACTACTAGTCGAGTCAGAGCTTATGGCGAACTGTCATCTACTTTTGCAACCTCAAGTGGTGTCCGTCAAGGCTGTCCACTTTCCCCGTTTTTAACTTCATCATAGATCTACTGATGGAAATAACACTCTCGTCGACTGAATTCTCGGGTATTGATCTCCTTCCAGGAGGTCCACTTATCGACTTAGAATACGCAGATGACATAGTCCTGTTTGGTGAAGACGCTGACAAAATGCAGAGTCTTCTGGCAGCACTAAGCAACAATGCCAGAATGTTTGGGATGCGCTTCTCTCCCTCTAAATGCAAGTTGTTGCTTCAGGACACCTGAACTGAGGATAGGGAGTGAAGTAGTCGAACGCGTTGACAACTTCACTTATCTTGGAAGTCTGATCAGCCCTAATGGGCTGGTATCGGACGAAATCTCAGCACGGATTCGAAAAGCTCGATTGGCTTTTGCCAACTTGCGTCACCTATGGCGAAGGCGAGATATCCGTCTATCAATAAAAGGACGAGTATACTGCGCGGCAGTCCGTTCTGTTTTAATTTACGGCAGCGAAACATGGTCATTAAGGGTAGAAGACACTCGTAAGCTATTAGTATTTGACCACAGATGCCTCAGAAATATTGCTGGCGTCTGTTGGGATCACCGGGTAAGTAATAGTGAGGTTAGACGCAGGGTATTAGGAAATGATGGTAAATCAGTTGATGAGGTTATGAATCTTCATCGACTGAGATGGTTGGGCCACGTATTACGTATGCCTGAACACCGATTACCACGACGTGCAATGCTATCCGGTATTGGAAATGGTTGGAAGAAAGTTAAGGGCGGCGAAACCAAAACGTGGCATTAGTGCTTGAAGTCACTAACTTCTAGTCTGAGCCATGTTGGTAGATGCAGACTACTTGGTTGGGGTCCGTGTGACTATCGTGACCAATGGTTGGAGACTCTTGGTGACATGGCTCAGAATCGATCACAATGGCGTCGGTGTGTACACTCCCTGTCTTCCCTTAAACTAAGAGATTAAAATCGCCTCATATCTTTCTTTCTACGAACCAATTCTTTCTTCTTGTACTATATCTCTATATGTAATCTTTCTCTTACATATTACTACCTTTGACCTAACCACTGCTATGAATCCGGTGTTCATCTTATTGTGCTGATGCGGTATGGCAACCTGGACCGAAGCACATATGTGCCTGGTCCTACGTTGTAGCTGACTGTATTATATCGGGAAAATATAAGGGGCCACTTTGTTCTTTATTGACGTTATTTTTAATCTATCCAACGATTGACTGTCTTACAGTTTCTCAACGATAACACTGAAGTGCACCAATCACTTCAACAAGACTAGCGATTTATGTAAACCACACAGAAAAGTGTCTACATGCAAACATCGACGTTAAAAACTGTATTCATGCTAAAATTAAGCAATAAAACAAGGCTGAACAAAGCAAGTCCTTAGGAATAAAAACGACAACTAATACTTCTGAGGAATGTGTACATGACAGGCATACCATGAAACACGTGGATTTGTCAAAATTTAACTAACAGCGTACAAATACACCAAGTGAAATAGAAGCGGAGCTGAAATGTTAGTAAAGTATACGCGACATTAAGTACATAGCGAATGGTGGTTGAAATACTAGTAGTTAGTTCTCCTTTGTTGACCCAAGGGCACAAGGTTAGCACCTAAAACCAAAGGACTTCAGCAAGGTAGTAGTAACTAGGCAGTAAGAAGCGATATGGTGAACATGTTAGGTGAACATCAAACATGAGATCTTGATTTCGTAACCTGCTTCAGTCACTTTGAGAAATGGAGAGATTCAAGATCTGGATTCAGGTGGTTAATGGTGAATATATAGGGAGTTAATTAAGTCAATGACTAACTACTCAACAAATGAATATATATAGTAATTTGACAAGCTTGTTGAACCCGATATGACTAGCTCCTAGTGCAACTACTGGTTCGAAATATGTATGCAAATGAGAACTACGGCAACTGGAAAGTCAAAAACTACTCATCGACTTTACCTTTTTAAAAGCCATAGACTGTATTGGTTAGGAAAATACAGTATGAAACGACCTTTTCAACTGTGGAGACATATTAACTATGTTTGCAGCACTTAAACAAACAGAAAAGAACCCACCCTGAAACATAAAACCCATTCATAAAGACGTCATATTTTTTCATTAACTTGACTGGAAAACCAATGAGACGGTAAAGAATCTTATATTTAATGATTGTTCTTAATCAAACACGATTTATTTCGAAAGAGTATTCATTTAATGTTTAATCGCACGATGTAGAGCTGTGTAAATCTGTCATAAAAACTGCAATGTTCTATTATTTCTGTTACAAATACTAAAAGATGAAGGCTTTTCTGGGTTACGTCTGGGGATTATTTTGATGAGGTTCATTCATTTAAAAGTTTCATACAGACCTGTATGGTTCAAACTTCCTTAACCTTTACTACAATAATTCTTATTCATCATTCAGTTTAAAAGTATTCTGGAGGCCGTTTTCCCTCTAACAGCCCCTGGAGACGAAGTTGGCAACTTTGGTCCTATACTGCCTAATACATTTTTTGACATTTCTCACCCTTTCCATAGAATCGCGTACAATCAGACTAAAAGCGTATTAGAATGAGTTCTTCGGTGTCTACCTCTCATATCTCCGACATTGAGATGAAGACTAAAAATATCAGAGGCATCTCTGGTAGTATCTCATTTGTTAACCAGTTGACTTTCGATGCCTAACAAACAAAGAGTTAAGAGACTTTCACTCAATTACCGAAACTATGGAGAGATAGAGAGGTTAGTAATATGTACTGTGAAGAAGCTTCCAGAATTCATGCTCAACCGTAATCAGCTTAGTCTACATAAACTGACATTACCAAAACTGTCTGGAAATTCAAGTTACGTATGTTATCCAATGACAATTATTAAAATAATTCAACCCGGAAGTTTTAGATGAGACTGCTGACGGTGATTGATATAAACTGATGTTTGTATCATCAAGATTTTTTGAAATTACACAAAACAATTTATCCTGTCGTTATTGTTAAAGTAGGTCTGTTTCATTACCCAGCTGACATACGCTTCAACAAACTTTAACAAGACCCAATCATCAGTTAACGGTTTACCTTTCTGTAATAATCGCTTTTACCTGCATGTCAATCTTCTAAATCCGATCACAGGGTCTTTACATCTGGCGTGTTGTTCCCAGCTCTCAGCACACCAAACTAATCGCTCTCTTGGACGCCCGTGAATAAGGAATTACTCTTCTTTAGCTTGTATGAAAGTCCAGAACTCAACGTTTGTGCATATATTTGTTTTGCTGAGTAATGGCTCTAAACTAAAACTAATGTGCGTCCAGTTGTTGAATCAGCCGAGCATCAAAGCTTTGAAAGAGAATTCCCTCACTCGCTCAGTAAGTCCGTCTATTATGTGCTTATTTGAAAAGGCGTCATTTAACAGTTAGTTACTAGCAGATAAAAGGACTATGAGAGTCGTGACTCCTTATACTCCCTGTCAACTAAACTTAGAATGGCGTTACCACGTAATAAGGGCTTTAACCTAAATCAACCGATAATTGGGCGTCGTTCATTATTTAGCACTGAAAGAAACCAATGTCAGTGGTGAATGTGTAGTGGCATTGGACAATAGCCACACAATCCACAAAGCTGTGAACACGAGACTACTCAGAAAATAAATATTCAATATTTAACGCCGAGAAATACCTAACAATGAAGAAGGCGCGAACAATGAATTGAATGGACTGGAGTTGATCGAGTGGCATGGCTCGGCCATGCAGGCGTGGTCTCTATTCATATTAAATATATTGTTCTTTCTCCAGCCTAACCTTCTTCCTCATCATGTATTGGTAATTGATACGATACAGTGAGTTGGTGTAGTCGATGGTGTGACTTCCACGTAAGATCTTATAGATTAGGCAGTTATATCATGACAAATCGACAAGTTTAGGATTAGGTCTATTATTAGAGCAGTACTAATATCATAGTAGACCATAGTTCTACATTGGTAAGCCCGACTAGAAAAATGCAACCTATTATTATTAATCCTTATTTCCACTTCAACTTTCTCGATCGATTTTATATTTATGTTAACACTGTATTCTAATAGTCCTCTGATTAATGCTCACATGCATCATCGTAATGTTATATTGATTAGTCCTCATGACAAACTAGCCCAATCGATAATAAAAACTGGTCGTCTATATTAACTAATTAGCTTTGATGATTTGTTAACAAGCTGTAATAGCATTTACATGCTTCAGCGACATAGTCTTGTTTAAACATCAAGCTCTAGCAAATATGACCTGTAAATAGCGTAAATATACATTGACTAACAATGCGATCAAGGACTAAATAGTTATCTGGATCTAATATTCAGTGTTCCTTATCTTATTACCTCATCCTGTTTTAAACTATACACTATCCTGTAATATCTTTTCTTCCGACCACTGCCTGCCTAATTTCATATTCTCGAGTTCGATTGCCAAACAACAAGGATGACACTTCTCCAGAAACATACGGTGAGTTCCAGCTATAAGTTTTCTGCAATCATAAGTTCATTTTAGATTACTCATTCAATGGCACACACAGTTATCTGGATTCATTCGGTTGTTCTGATCCGAGCGAGTGGCAAAAACGTCAACAGCATCAAGCACCATAGAATTATTTGCCATACTGCATGTTTTATTCTGGATACTCTTGGATCATTACTAATCACGAATGGCGTTATATATGTCGTCCACTGAATAATCTAATTTTCAAAAATAATCCAGGCGAGTTCAACTATTTTACTGGATGATTTTTTTTGTACTTAACACGTATATATTTTCCAGTTGCTTTTGACACATATTTGTAAGTGTCCCTAGGCTAAATGCAGTAACTTCGTACGTAATGTTTATAACGCGTCATATTCCTGCCTGAAGTTTCATAAGCAGTCTTAGCTTTAAAATTATTTCTCTGGTGATGTTCATTATTTTTAAATTTTTATATACGTCAACAACCTGCATGTTAACCTGGCCCGTACATACGTTTTACTATATCTTCATATCTTTTGAATTTAGAAATCATCTGAATCGCCTTTAACATTTATCAATAAACCCATCATAGTCGTTGTTGCTAATCGTATTTGGGTTTATGGATTGGTTTATCATATTAGCAGCCTAAAATGCGAACCTAGCTTAGATAATAAGATTAAAAATTTAGGTACTATCAACTGCACTAGTAAAATAACTAAATCCCCAGGTAGCTGTTGGCTAAACAAATGTTTAAAATCAAAACTCCGTAGCCTACTAGAATTAACACTAAACGAATATTTCTGAATTGAAATTTATAATTAAATTAGGCGTCTCGGATTCTTTAACGTTATAAATTTCTGATGATTTTGAATCACCTAAAGCAACAATACCTATTTTTCTACTGACTAATCCTTAATCAACACTATAACTAGTTAAATTTAATAGTTTCAGGATATCGTCATAAAGCATTGTCATAACTTGACAATCACGTAATATGACTGATAAAATTAATAAAACTATTAACGAAATCGGTCAACAAGTTGACTCATAATTACCATTACATGGTGTTGTTTTCTTGGTATCTTCATCCATCACAGATGATTACAGTATGTTTCTCTATCAGTTGCTCATTCAGTAAATATCTCAAAACCTTCTCAGTCTAATTGATGGTTTAGCGACACAATCATGCATGCAAATAATCAGTACAAGCAGTCGAGCAAATCTCCTGCAAACTGAAAACATCAATGTCGAATTTACCCCAACACTGACTAAGGTTCAAGCCATTATCATAGACATGAGTTGGGAGTGTACTCCCCCTGGTTACAACTTATGTTCTCCCTGATAATCACATGAGCATCACTCACTATTAATCATCTTGTAAAAACTTATTTAGCTAAATACATTTTGCAGCACCACATCACTTCGTAATATGACACAGGTCTAACTGATTTTAATAACTTGTAACCACTATATCTCAATTAAATCGTATTCCGCCTTATGATAAACTGCATACTTGCAACTAACTTGTATGTCCAATCACTCGGCAAGTATAAATACAAATAAATAGTCTGCCACAGATCAGAACATTGAGTCTAGAGCATGTCTCTCACGAATACACTCATGTTTAACGATTTGTTCCTAGCTATCTGTCCAAAATTCATATAATCATCACTCACGTATTTAAATTTTATTTTGATAACCATTCATGTGTATTAGTAGTATTACCAAATTCTATCACGGTCAAGTAAAAATGAGGTTGAGAAAATCTCCCCGTAACTAAATAAACCGTATCAAACTAACTGGAACACTAGTTGGAATTCTTTACCATGGTAATACTTTTGTTCCTTCAGTTAGACTACTGATACAGATGCAATTGGAAATCATCTCTTATGGACAACTTACCGGCATAATCGTTATCCGATTTCATAATTTAAACCAAAACTAATACCAATATTAACATTTCTACAATATTCATTACTTCAATATTTCTAAACACAAAATAATTACTGCCTATAAGTTAATTTATTAACACGCATCGTTTTATTATTATTATTATTGTAACCCCATTTTTTTTATAGCTTAAATAATCTTCACCCAGATTTTCATTTCAAGCGTTTTAAACATGAAGGCAGATATTTTAAAATTATTACATGTATTTCCCGACCAGATGCTGCCGCTTTCTTTTTGATTTATCTTTCAGCTTACCAATACCCGGAGGATTCTTATTATCCTTGGTAACCTCCGGCGCGCGACGATCCCATCCAATTTGGTATCGAACCAACATCACGTTGATTCTGGTGGGAGAGTAGTGTAGTGGCATTGGACAATAGCCACACAATCCACAAAGCTGTGAACACGAGACTACTCAGAAAATAAATATTCAATATTTAACGCCGAGAAATACCTAACAATGAAGAAGGCGCGAACAATGAATTGAATGGACTGGAGTTGATCGAGTGGCATGGCTCGGCCATGCAGGCGTGGTCTCTATTCATATTAAATATATTGTTCTTTCTCCAGCCTAACCTTCTTCCTCATCATGTATTGGTAATTGATACGATAC